AAGATTTTGAGGAGAGGTTCCAGGTCGGACCCACCTTATACCCGGCCTTTGGAAGGAAGACCTCATCTCTTTCTGGCCATGGATGTGGAGCCCAGAATCTGATACCCTGTATCACAGGGAAGGATTGATCTGGACCCCCTACGAACGCATCAACCCTGGAAGACGCCGTGCACACTATCGGCGATCCACAGTTCCTCGCACATGGACAGTACCACATCAACCCAACATTTAAGCTTCAACTCCCATCACCAGTCTCCCCTCCGCACCTACCCACACATCAATTGTTTACAGAACAGCATCAGTGGTACGTAACGTTGTGCAAGCCCCGCCCAACGCACCCGAACTGGTCCATACTTTTCAAACCACTCCCTCGTGCCACTCCGACCAATGAATCTACTCTGACAGTTGACGACTCCAACCCTCTGCGACTCTCCGACAGTGACGATTCAACAGTGACGACATCTGCCTCGGACCAGCAACCACCCCTTTGCTCCCAATCCCTCCAAGTGCCTCTGCATCAGCTCCCCAGTCAGACTCATGGCGCTAAAGAACACTTCGCTTTAACCCGATGATGGCTCCAGATTGCGAAATCCTCTTGGACTGGCTCGGCCATTCAGGTTAGCGACGGCCCCTACAAAGATTCTTTGGCACTGGCAATTTCGTCCTTGAAGGAGCAGACCACAAGGGACGATCAACGGCCAGTTCTCTGTCCTCAGGTTCCCCGGTGACCATTCTTCCCTTCGAAGTGAACTGGCAGGTATTATTGTGGGCACTCATCGTTATGCGAACCATCTGTATTCTCCATGAATCACTATGGATGCATCACAGATTGGTTGTGATGGCCAAGCAGCCCTCACTGCCCTTGAAACCCTCTTCAAACCCGCAGTGCAATAGCAAAGACTTTGACCTCCGTGTTGAGGGCCGAGCTGTTATCGATGAGATCAGGGAACTGGGGATCGACGTTCAGTTCCGATGGGTTAAAGGCCACCAGGACGACAGCCCTCGAGCCCTCCGCATCCTCCCCCAGGACATGTTACAGGGAACCCGACTGTACCACGGCTGCCTCGACCGCTGGGCAATCCTGAACATTGAAATGGATACTGCTGCCAAATCCCAGTGGACTCAGGATCACTCCGTCCCGTGCCCTAATTTACCCTTCACCAACGAGCGCGTCATCTTCCGGCACAAGGGTAAGAAACTAGCCCGTTTTCACCCCCGTGAGATGCACGAGGCCCTTTGGGAAACAAAATCAAGGCACACTGGAAGCAGCGCGAGGAAAGAGTTCTTAACGTCGTCTATTCCGAAGCGGATTGGACAGAGCGCTGGGACACTATCAACTGGGAGGCAATGGGTAGGGCCATGAGAAGGCACCAATTGGCATCCAAAGATTCATCACCAAACATGCAACAGGCCACTGTGTGTAGGACGCCAGCTGCAACGCCGCCAATGGCAGGCTCACAGCGATTGCCCACGGTGTGGAACAGCCGACGAAGACACCCTCCATGTGCTACGCTGCCAAGACCCAGCATCCATCCAAAAGTGGAACCAGGAGATTTCCAAGCTGAAAACTTGGTTGCACAAGCGCCACACAGACCCCATGATGACCAAGCAGATCTGACCCAACTCCATCACTGGCAAAAGGGACACAACACCTCTCTCTGGATGGGATCTGGAACTCCTAGCACTGTAAACGGACTCCGTGCACAGGCCAAACTGGGATGGTGGAATTTCTACTTGGCAGAATCGCAACTCCTACTTTGCACTGCCCACGAGCTCCACTTACACTCCATTGAGAAAACAAGGTGATGTCACCAGCTGGGCAACTGCCTTGGAAATGAACTGTGGATGCTTCACTCCGCATGTGGGAGCACAGAGAACGATGCAGCTACACGGTGCAAAACCAACTCCCACCCAACTCTCCCACCTCTGCCACCCTCCGACAGGAAATACCTGAAAGAGTACTCCAAAAGTTGATGCCACATTACCTCACACGACGGCTGGCGCCTCGACTTGACTAAGAGAAATAAACTCAACCTGTCCTCCCAAAACCTCCGCTGGCTCGAAACTAATCAACTGGCTAGGGCTGCCCATGGACGACTTCGCACAACCTATCCACCCGCCGCACAACAACAACAACTCAACAATCAAATTGCACACCCTACACTCCCAAACTGGCCGAACCACTACAAATTGGAGTACACATGCTTCAAATCCTGGGTATTGCCTTGGCGCTCCAGGTGCTGCCCTTGCCAGCTTCTCCTGCACGAGAGTGTCAGCATTGTCCACTAATGTGAGGGCCCATCCGGGCCCCTGAGAATGAACTGACACTGCGCAGAATTTATGTGGATGACGACTCAGCTAGGTGGGGGCTTCCCCACCCATTGCCCGCGTCACTAAAGCCACTCCGTGGCCATAGTTTGTTAAACTAACGAGTATTTTACATCATCTACAATGGCTGGATTGACAATATTCGGTTGTGCATGTATTCGTCATAAGGATCCATTGCGAGCTAACGGAGTGTAGGGAGCTGGAACTAAGGAATCAAGAGACGAACGCTGAAAAAAACCGAATTACGTCTCCTGAGACGACGCTCTTTTAAAGGTTACCCCTCAGTTGCACTCTGAAATCGATTGGCTCGCGTTTACTGTGTAAATTAGTGTACCCGCACTTCAGTTGCAGAATCAACTGTCATGTGTATCGTTAAGTAACAAGTTCCCTTTCGAAAGATTTAGATCGATTCGTGGATAAAAGAACCGTTGAAGTTACTAAGGTTAAGGATAAACTGATTGCCTGCACATGTACCAGTACCGTGTTAGGACGAGGTAAGCCAATTATCAAGTCCATTGTTGAAGGTGCAGCACTGACTTCTCTCCCTCATTGAATTGCTATGGCAAACAGGAGAGAAATCCAAGCTCGGCCGACAAGAATAGTGTTGGAACGATCAATCAAATGGATCGCAATGAGGTAAGCCTATTATCAAGAGTGTTAATTGAAGGTACAGCGCTGACTTCTCTCCCTCATTCAATTCCTATGGTAAACAGGAGAGAATTCCGAGCTCGGCCGTCAACAGGTGAGTTGGTTTTAATTATTCGAATCGATCGATCGCACCTCTATTATTATCCAAGCCTCACTCAAGCTGTCCTTCTTTGGTGCAGATTCGAAAGCCATCCCTCATTGAATCCTATGGACCATGGGATGGCAGTCAGTTCTCGGCCCATGACGGCCAAGTTGGTGCAATTTGAAAAACAATGGTAAGTCTCCGATCGTCTGCAGTTGAGCACAGAAAACAAAACTCATATCTATTTGTTGTTTTCTCTGCTGCACTGTTGATGGCCGATGAACTATCATTGTCGAGTTCTTTTCGAACGAAGGACCGCTCCGGAGAACAAGAGGAAGAGGCTGCCGTTACGGAAGAGCCTCTGTTAACTCAAGCCCTATCAGCAGCCTGAACGGAGGAGATCGTCGTCAAGTCATTGAAAGGCAACAGCCACCGGAAGAGGCAACAACACACATACAAGAGAGAGGATTCTCTACTGGATTCATCCCTTCTTGTTATTTCCTACTGTTTTGGTGGTGATTCCTGTGTCGGTACCCATTTTCCTGTATGCGCAAATCAAGTACTGTTGCCACTAGCTATACGGCAGCTGGCTACAATGGCTGGATTGACAATATTCCGTTGTGCGTGTATTCGTCATAAGGATCCAATGCGAGGTAACCGAGTGCAGCGAGCAAAGTCGAACCTGCGTGTGTTCGGTACTGTTGCCACTGTCACCGATCGATGAACTCTACGATAGCTGGCTACGATGGCTGGATTGACAATGTTCGGTTGTGCATGTATTCGTCATAAGGATCCAAAGCAAGGTACCGGTAACTGAGTGTAGCCAGTAAAGCGGAACCTGAGTGTGTGTTCGGTACTGTCATGGATCGATGTAACTCTACGGTAACTGGCTACAATGGCTGGATTGACAATATTCGGTTGTGCATGTATTCGTCATAAGGATCCAAGTAGTGAGCAAACTGAGGAAACAGGAGACGAATGCTGAAAAAAAGCCGAATCTTTGAGAGGTGAAGGCTAGGATCGTTTCGTGTTAGTTAGGGTTCGGGCTTACTGCTTGAAACGGGTTCCGATTTCAAAAACGATGATGTTAGTCATGAATTCAAATTGGGATCATCACGAGAAATCTGACACCGATGCATCTTCGACAAAGAACCCACCAAGAGGCACTCTTGTTCATTCTCTCTTCTTGCGGCTATCTTGCACAGCATTGCCAAAGGATATGCTTTGTGTCATTCATTCATCTCATAATAAAACGAAAGCCTTGACTTTTCTTCTGCTTCTTTCCCTTGGAATCCTCGGTTCTTCCTCTTCTTTTTCTGCTCCATCCCCATTATTATTTGTCAAAATGAGCAAGAAAACTGAAACTTCCCCACTCCTTGCCAATGGCGGCGATGAAGGCGGTGATATTCACAGCAAACTTGCCAACATTCGCTCCCTGATGCAAGATACCCATGATTCTTGCATCAACTTTTCCTATGAATGGCGCAAGGACCAATTGACTCGTCTGGAAAAATTGGTTAGGGACAACTTTGAAGAAATCCTGGATGCTCTATACCAAGATTTGGGCAAGGCCCGTTGCGAAGCTGGCTGTTTTGAAATGGGAAGTCTGGTGAGCGAAATCGAGTTCTTCAGTAAGAATTTGAAGAGTCTCATGGAGCCAGAGGATTTTCCCTCTCCAATCGGATTGTTCCCAGGTTTCAGCAAAGTAACACCCATGCCTCGCAACGGACCAGCCGTCTTGGTGATTGGACCATCCAATTATCCAATTTCCCTCAGTCTCATGGGTGTCGCGGGAAGTTTGGCGGCAGGAAATCCCACCGTCTTGAAGCCTTCGGAACTTTGTCCAGTCAGTGCCGCACTCTTGGCCAAGTATGTGCCACAATACTTTGAGGCCAATGCGTTGCAGGTAGTGGGAGGAGGTATCCCCGAAACCACAGCCTTGCTGGATCAAGAGTGGGGAATGATTCTCTTTACTGGAAGTGAACGGGTTGGAAAGGTATGTCAACTATCAGAAGTATACCTGACCGAGTGTTTGTGTCTAGTGGACTCACTACGTGTTGCGTGTGCAGATTGTGGCTGCCGCTGCTGCCAAGACACTTACCCCCATTGTCTTGGAACTGGGAGGCAAATGCCCGTGTCTCGTTGATGAAACCTGCCCCGCGGATATTACTCAGGTTGCCAATCGGATGATCTGGGCAAAGACAGCCAATTGTGGACAAAACTGTATTAGTCCAGACTACGCCGTGGTGCACAAGAGCAAGATAGATGCCTTGGTGCCGGAACTCTTGAAAACATTGGAGAAGCAATTTGGTTCTGATCCCAAACAATCCGGACTTGGAAAATTGGTTGCTCCTGGCCACGTCACACGAGCTATAGAAATGCTACAGGAGGTGGAAGAGCGTGCCAAAACCGACAAAAGCATTAAAATCTTGGTGGGAGGGTCCGACAAATGCGATGCCAAAGCAGGCTATGTGGCTCCGACACTGATTTTGAATGCACCTTTGGACTGCCGTGTCATGCAGGAGGAAATATTTTGTCCCATTCTACCCATTGTGGTGTTTGAAACCCGCGACGAGGCAGTCAATCTCATCAACAGCCGCGCTGGAACCCCCCTTGCCTTTCACGCCTTTACCAGCAGCGACAAAGTCTTTCGGGAGTTGACCGAACGCTGTCGCTCCGGTACTGCCGTGCAGAATGATTTCCTGGTGCAATTTGTAGGGCCCTACTTGCCCTTTGGTGGACTTGGGTCCAGTGGTATTGGCGCCTACCGAGGAGCGAATTCATTCAAGGCGTTTAGTCACATGCTGCCAGTGGTTCACAGGCCGTGTTTCCCTGGAGCTGACTTGCACATGTTGCGGTATCAACCCTTTGGAGCATTCAAAGAGTTTGCACTGCTGAAAGTTCTCCCCATATTACCCACCATTCCGGTCCTCCGCTTGAAGATTGTTAGCAAAGCTATGGTCGCAGTGGTTGTGGCGGTAGCCATTACACAGTTTGTGCCAGGGGCAGATGCGCTGGTGCACTCGGGCCGTGCTGCTGGAGCTGGTTTCTTGCGCAAAGTCGCGGATGCGCTGAGCCCTTGAGCATAAAAGTGAGTATGAGCGAGCGAGTAGCAAGTTTGTTTTGTTTGTTAATCTCCACGAGTGCTGTCAGGGTTTGGGAGTACGGTAGCAAGTAGAATGAGACAGGAACCACGAGTAGAGACGCAATTCCATTCACATGGATGGAAGCATACGAAGATCTATAAGAATTTTTTACCTAACACAATCCAGTGTGCATTCGTTGTACTGGTACAAAGCGTCTGGGAGAGTGACAGTCGTCGCATGGTTCACCCCCACGAAAAAGTCTTCATGCATTACCGGTAGGGCCCGGTTGACCATTGTGGAATAGACAACAAGCAAGCTACCAAGATGGATGATGAGTTCACAAATCAACAAACTTCTGGCTGACCACACAATGACCCACAACCATTAGATGTCCGGTCGTTCGGTCCAATAGGCGCCCATGTCCTCCAGAGGCAAGTTCAAACAGTTACAACATTGGAGCCTCTCAGTCGACCGCCAGCCAGAAAATAAAAGTCATTCAATCCTCCCTGCTTGCCAACCAAATAAAAACTAACTGGTTTTGCTTTTGAGTTCTGGAAAGAGGAGCGACCGCATTCGATCCGTGTATTGTTCTAGTTGGGGCAGTTCCCGTTTGATTTCTTGTACCCATTCCATGGACGACGGGGTGGTATCGTAGAACAAGTGTCCCATAAAGGCGTATAGATCCGTGTCAAAGACGGTGGCCTTGTCCGTCCCCAAAATATACGTCCTGTCACCCAAGAGCGAGTGAATTGCTCTCAAATCGGCCTCTCCCATGGCAATGATTTCGTCAAACGGCATTCGGCCCGTGCCTTGTCCGAATAAATTGGCCTGTTGGGATTTGATGACCATGGCACTGATAAACGGCACCAGTGGTGCTGGAAGACCCTTTTTCATTTCTTCCACGACAGCTTGTCGACCCTCCTCGGTCCCAAAATTCATACTGTAACGAACCCAGTAAAGGCTCCCCGTCAAGAGTCGACGTAGAAAATGCCCGTCACGCAGTTGGTCGGGTGTCAGACCCTCATCAATTTTCAAGAGTGCCTGAATGGCCTCTAGAATTTTGGCACTGTCATCGACCATGCGCCCATGAAGATTGCAAAAGGGCAATTTTTGGCGTGGATTTTCGGACAAGTCGACACTGACTCGTTTGGTGTAGTTGTGCATCCCCAAGAGTCGCAAATAGCATTCGACACGCGCAACGTAGGGAGATCCATCGCAGACACCTCGTTCAAATGCCGGATATTCGCCTCGTTTTTGGAATCCCCAGACAATAATGGAATCGACACTTTCGTCGCTGTCCTTGGGTAATAGAGGAATGGGAAGTTTGGCCTTGCGCTGGATTTCGGAACACGGTTCCACGTAGAGAAAGGCTCGAATCTGATAGACAGCCACAGCCGTCAAGGTGGCTGCCACGCCATACAGAAAGTCCTTGTAGGATGTAATCAAGATCATCTTTGTTCTACTCTATTACAATAGAGAGACGACTTTGACTGCTTGTTAAAGGATCCAGAACTCTTCTCGGGAGGATCTTTAAGCTTTGTTGAAAGATACTACTTAGGGTTCAGGTTAATTTGGATCTGTTGCATCCACGCATCGATCATCCATCCCTTCCATCAAAGAGAGTACAGTGATCTTGCTACTAGTACCCTTCAGATATCATAGTTGTGAAGGTAAATATCGATCCTTGGTCGCACAGCACACATCGAAAGAAGACAGGAGAGAAAAGAGATCATTTATTGGAGAAACCACGATGATACCCCTCGGAAACAGAAACAGTGGATTTGCCGTTTTGGCAATGGTCGTCTGGATTGCCACATCACAACAATTTGTGAATGGGTTCCACCTGAGAAGACCGTGCCATTCACAGCTTGGTAGAGTCTCCAAAAGAAGGATAGTAGAAGTTTCTCTCGGGACAACTGGTATCAAAAACTATAGGACAAGATTGCTACATACACCAAAACGGAGATTAGTACTCACAACAACTTCCCACGCCACAGTCGGTGAGAGTGCCAATGAGCCAACCAGTACTGATGCTACCACGACGACCAACTACAACTGGACCCGACAAAATCTAAGAATTGCCATTCCCGCCTTGATTGGCATGTTGGCGGACCCACTATTGAGTCTCATGGACACGGGTAATTACTTGCTTGCATACTTTTGCCCATTGCATTCATCGAAGACAACACACTAATGGCAGCTCACATGTTCCCTTTTTCGGCTGGCAGCTTACGTGGGTCATTTGGGGACAACGGAATTGGCAGCATTGGGGGCCTGCACTTCTATTTTTCATTTGGCATTCAATGCCTTTCGAGCCACCACACAGGCCACCACATCGCTGGTTGCAACCAGTCTGCAGAAAGATCCCAAACAAGCGCAACAAGTTACATCGATATCGCTCAAGTTGGGCTTTGTCATGGGACTCTGTGTCATGGCGTTTCTCCAACTGGGAGGAACCTGGTGCCTCGGAACCATGGGGGTTCCAGTCCAATCCAAACTCTATGCTCCCGCGAAAGCCTACCTCTCGACGCGAGCATGGGCGGCTCCGATTGTGTTGGGGATCGTAGTGTCTGAAGGGGCCTTTCGAGGATACGGGGACACCAAGATCCCACTCCTCGCCAGTCTGGCAGCCTCCCTCATCAACTTGGTACTCGATCCAATCCTCATGTTCCCACTGGGTTTGGGGGTCATGGGTGCGGCTGCCGCAACGGCATTGTCACAACTTGGTGCTGGCGCCGTGTATGCCTTCTTTTTGAACAAGAGACACATGTTGGGAGGGAGTCCTAATACTGCCACAGGAGATGCTGCAACGGACACAGATATAATGACTGCCACCACGCCCGGGACTACCAGCGATGAAAGTATCCAAGCCATTGAAATCATGGAAGATCCGCCGACTTTGAGCGATGACGATGACAAACAACGCGACGACAATAAGCACGGTGGCGTCCAGCAGGGCAAGGTGATTCGGGCGATTCTGAGTGCCAATTTGGCCATGATGACCAAACAGGGCAGCTTATTGTTGGCATGGGCCTATGCGACCTCACGAGCGACGCGAATTGGTGCCAATCATGTGGCCGCACATCAGGTGGCCCTCAGTTGCTGGCTTGTCTTGGCTCTCATGTTGGATGGTGCCGGTGTCAGTGCGCAAGTCTTGATGAGCCGGGCGTGTGCACAAAAGAATGTTACAAAGCGAAAAAAGGAAGTCAAGAGTCTGATATCGTACTTTACGCGATTTGCCACACTACAAGGTGCCACTGCCTGTTTCGTATGGTTGACATTCCTGGGACGGTATGTTGTCCCCCATGTCTTTACGTCCGATGGAGCTATTCGAGCCCATCTCATTTCGCTAATGCCAACGTTGGCATGGCAACTCATCTTGGTTAGTTTGACCTTGGTGGTGGAAGCGATGGCTGTGGGAGGACATCAGTTCCAAATCATGGCATTTGGCACAACAATTTCCACCATTCTGGCCATGAGTCAGCTACAACATGCAACCAATATCGTGTCTATTTGGTCTAGGGGTATCAATACACTCTTCTATGGACGATTGGCAACTGCCATCATTGCGACATTCCGGGTGTTTCAACTGGCATCCAAGCCTCAAAAGGGTGACGACGACTACAAAGAATCATAGACATGTTATTTTAGACTGCTAGCTGCTACCTAAACAGACGCTCAACTTGCACGTCCACTACTTCATGTAAAGGTACCGGTATCAAGTGCCCCTGCATGTGCCTGTTTTTATCACGGACCCTTGGTTTATCTTCTCCGGGCTCCGCCCCTAGCCCCACAACTGGACCACTCCAGGCAATGAAGCAGGCACATCGTCAGGTCCAACACCATGCCCCACTCCCGGGCCGGAACAGCACATGGATGATGCTTACCTGTCCTCAATCCAGGACCATCTCCCGGCCAATGCCTCAAAGACATGCACCATTATCCTTGAACCTGATCACTGGACACTGGACAAGCTAACAATGCCAGCAAGGCTGGTAATACATTGACCTTGAAGCCTCATTCTGACGTCATCCTGAGATCGACTCTTCGAACACACCACACCACATTCACCAGCATCCACAGCACACACAAGCTCTCCGCTGCCCATAGTCTCGTCGCCAACAGCATCATCTATCTGTGAAGTGGAATAGGTTTGTTGGGTTCCACCATTCTTCTTGAAATAATTGAATTCGACAGCAACAGCAATAATGCCACCGCGACTACCTCCACACCTGTGGATCCCCAAGTCTCCCACGACGTTTGGTCCTGCCAAACATCTGACACCATCTCGGAATCGCAAGGAAGTGTTGAGTTTATACCGTGAAATTCTCCGAACCGCCAAACATTTTCATTGGAAAGACGAAAACACGGGACAACCATGGAACAAGCTCTTGAAGGACAAGGCTCGAGCCGAGTTTGAAGAAGCACGCAACGAAACGGATCCCTTAATCATTGCTCGATTGCTCGTCACTGGGAGGGACTGTGCGCAACAAATTCAAAACAAATTCAACGATGCCACCAATGCCGCATGGGCACGAATCGAACGAGATTCTTCCAGGAGATAATTGACAGAAAATTAGCTGGCTTGAGCGAACTCGTTCCTCTACTGTACTTGGCATCTGACATCCTGCCCTCGAAAAGAACAAGTTTTGTTACAAGGACAATCCGCAAAAACTGACATGGTCGCACAACCCACAGTGGAACGCAAGAGCTGCTAACAATATTTTATCGAGGGAGTGATGATGAGGATTCTTTTCTTTTATCCGGACTTCTGGATTGAGTCCTCTGTATCTCTTACACGATGGGTTTCATTGGATGGATACAGATTCTACTAAGAGTTATGGCATCAGTGCGCTTGTTTCGTGGCACCAACAACCCAAATGTAGCTTTGTGTTTCATTGCTGTACGAAAATGCCAGGACCAAGGGAGAATCAAAGAGTGCCAAAAACTCTCAGATGATGCTCTTGGCATCCTCCAAATTGTCTCGAATATCATAGTCCCGTAAAAATGCTTGCATGTCAGACACTCCAGTGCTGCATCTATATTGTCACGATGCGTGTCTTCAGAAACGAACAAAAGAGAAGAAACAGAAACTTTGAAAGATCGAGGACAAGCGCCCTGTTCCACTGAACATGTGTTTTCAGCACCAGCTCCATCCAAAAGAGGGCTACCTGTAGCCTAGTGATGGAGCTAGCAAATTCTTTGGCACCGAAGATTGTTGACATGAACAATGATTAATAAAAAGGGAAAGGAAAAGTAAATTGAGGTGGTGTTGTCCACCTTGCTAAATCCTCTGTGCACACAGCTTTCTGCTGACCGGCTGATACCGTACGGTACATCTATCTCTGCTGCCAGTCTACAAACTAAATCTGGCCTCATTTTCATATCTCAGCTGCAGGGTTTGCATGATTCTGATGTAGTTCCTTTGTAGTACTGTCTTGGCATCTGGGACTAGCCATATCTGATCCAATCGACCATCACAAGAGCATCCATATTCCATCCTTTCTGTCATATTCTTTGGCAGGAATCGTTTGATCGTGCTCATCATGACATTAACAAAATACCCTGGGAGTGGTATCAATGGGTTTGCAGTCGGCAAGAAGGAGCAAAACAAGAATACAGCAAGAGTGAGAGCCTGCAACAACAACAACAACAACAACAACGTGGAAATCATTCATGAGTTTGATCAAATTACCAGTATGAAAAAACCGCAATGAGTAATGCCTGGCAGGATACTCCCCAATCAACTCTCTTGCCATGCGAGCCACATGCTCCAGCCCTCCCATTTTACCAAAGTCAAATCCCTCACATTCATGAATGATAGAAATCCCAGTGGAAATGGCCCGTAAGTTGGGATTGAGGGCTTGTCGTAGGTAATACAATCCTGCCAGGTAGATTCTCCATTGCTTATTGGTAACCAAGTCCTTCTTGTCGATTTGTGCGATATCGACAACCCAAATGTAGCTCTGTGATTCAACACTGTAGGAAAATGCAAGGACCCAGGGTCTGTCAAACAATGTCAGAAACTCCCAGACCGTGCTTTTGGCGTCCTCCAAATTGTCTCGAATGTCGTACTCCTGCCGAAATGCTTGCATGTGAGCCGAATGCTGCTGTGCTGCATCCACATTGTCATGGTCCACAATAGCCAGTTGTGCATCTGCAAAGAGTTTAAAATAATGCACACAAGGAGACACAAAAGTACAACATGAAAAGTTGAGGACAAAACTTGCGTAGAAGTACAATCTCATTTCTTTCGATTATCTCTTCTTACACCAAAAGTCACTGAGGTTATCGATCTCATCATTTGCTTCCACAGCTTCCTTGATGGTCAATGCCCAAGCCCGTTCTGCTTCAGTAATGGACATGCCAGGCATCGAGTTCTTATCCTCTCCGGCAGGGTCTCCATTGCGTGGAGCATCAACCTCTTCGTCCATTCGCGCTTGAGCTCCGGCAATATCATTCATTGTGAAGCAATCAACTACTTCCTGTCTACCGGTAGCAGACTACGCACAGGATACCGGCATAGCAGTGAGGACTTCCAACCACGAGCTGGTTGTCTTCTTCGAACAACCAAAGCCGAGCCTTTGCTGTCTGTTGCGTTGTCCTCCTGTTCTTTTTGTTCTTCTGCTTGGTCACTTGCTCGTGCTTGAAAGGATCTGAAAAGTTCAATGACATCAAATTCAGGTCTAAACAGTCCCGTACCGGTACAGTGTCCCATGTCTCTGTCGCAAGAGCTCCCTTGGTGAGTCGAGTGAGTCGAGTCATATAATAGTCGAGTCTTTTTTCAATCAATAATATGACGTCCGCTGTCGGAGGTACCGGCACACTGTTTCCTTCGATAGAATTCGCAACTTTATCTTGCCTGTTTCGGCTAATCTTGCACCCGAACCCGGCCAATCATCGAAGTTGCTCTTGGCGGGGAGGTTGCCAAGTATCAGGAGTGAGTCACGGCAAGTCTTGTACCGCTGTACCACCGGGTAGCAACAAGGCAGCATCTCGCTGGTATTGACGAAGTACGAACCGCTCGAGAAGGCTGGGACCAGAACATTCTCGAATAGAACCAAGCAAGGTAATAGCTATCCTTTCAAGAGAGGTACACGTAAGACAGACACCAAGGAAATGCATCCTGTTATCTGCTTCACGAGTGAAAGTTCAAGGACTTGCAACCGCTCCAGCAAATTGAGGAATCCTAGCCAGCAGCCATGCCAGGAGTCTGCGAGGTGGCTGCGAGTGACTGCTGGCAAGAAGCAAGATATGATATCCTTTGCTATCCTGGCAGCAGAATACTGAACCATTCCCATGCAAGTCTTGGTGTGATGGCTCTGTAGAACCTTTGTCGAATGCATCGTACTAATAGTTGTTCTCGGTGCCAGCTAGCTAGCTCGTCAATCCTGTTGTAGTACAACTGTCCTGCTTCACTGGCATCCTCCAACCACATCACTGGCATCCTCCAACCTGCTGGAAGTCGCACTAGGTTTCGCCGACCTAGGTAGCAGCCTGTTGCCAGTACCGGTATCCCTAGGCCGGTGAGCTATCGTACAGCTTTCCCTTCGTTTGTTTTCAGGAACAAGCTGATCAGGGTAGTTTGGCATCTTACTTTGTCGAGCTAAAGTAAGGTATAGATTATAGGAAGTTCTGTCTATCGGAAGTACTTAGTAACATTAAGAATACATATATAGTAAACAGTTGATGTTGTTGTGGTGATGTGATGGTGTTGTTGTATATTGTATACTGTATAATCTTTAACAAAGAAAATGAAGTGCTCATCTCCCCTCGCTCTATGTATCTGTATTGGGGTTTTTGCTGTAGCTGTGTCTATGCAATCTGTGCATGATCGGTGACAGCTCGGGGCGAGATGGTATGAGACTGACGACGCTTGGGTCTGGAAGTAGCATTGTCGGAAATGACGCGTCGTGCTTCTTGTCCACAGACTCCACGCAGACTTGTCATGGTGGAAACTGCGGCAAAGAGCGTGGCTTGAATGCGGAAGATTTCGTCCGTGTCCAAATCGGAGACAGCCAAGATGAATTGGTGGAGGATTCCAAAGTCCAGTCCGACCACCTCCAAGGCATTCATCAAGGCAGCGAATCCAATGCTGGATGGCTTGATGGTGACAAAGCTGTAGTTGGCAACGGCAAGCTCGGTTTGGATCTTGACCAGAGTGAGGAGTTGGTCCTTGCAAGCATCAGTGAGGACGGCAGAAGGAATCATTTGGAGGTATTCCCGCACAAATGCCAGTGGCGTGGGAACATTGACACGCCATTGCAGTGCTTGCAACATGCGCCATTCCATGGCTTCCATGTCTTGTTTGGAGTAGAATCCCCGGGAAATGGTAGAGAGGACTTCGGGACTAATGGCCTTTTCTTCGTGGATCTTAATGGCCGAGTAGAGAGCAGTCATGCAGGCCAATTGAAAGGCGGCAGAATCTTCAATGCATTCTGATCCCGTGGGGGTGGCCAGGAAACGATCCAAATAACTCATGGCAATGGTAACAGTTTCACGGCTCAACTGGCAAGCATCCATGAGTGTCATGCACCACTGTGCCATTTTGGATCGGTTGTTGATGCAGACCATGATATCTTCTTGTGTCATTGTGGATCCTTGTTGATCTGCAAAGTTTGTCATGAACATGGCATCAATCGCAGATGTGGGAGAGAAGGACTTTTGCAGTTTGCTGTGGAGGTAGTCTTCACATTTGTAGCCAGTGCATTCCTGGCGGCGCATGGCCTCCAAAGTGGAGTAGTTCATGTTGATTTCTTGTTGGCAGGACATGATGTTGATTTGTGGTTGGTGTTGTGAAAGTGCTTTTTTGGTGGCTGTGGAGTTGTTTTTGTGAGAGATGAGGCGAAGCGAGAAATCGATTTGTTCCAAGACCGGAACCTTCTTGGCTGATCGGCAAAGTCCCACGAAAGCAAAAGTCTCTGTGTTGTTTTCAGTTGAAACTCTTCCGGTCGCTCCTCGTGCATGAGCGATCTGTTGAGTCACAGTGCTTACCGCCAGTAGATCTCAATCGTGACAGACAGGACCAGAGCTGATCAGATGCTTGCGATGGATGACCGCTGGTACACGGTGGTTCTACGTCAATCCTGCTAGGTTCCCAGTTATATTCTCTCATGTTTTCTTATTATCCAATCATATACCCTTTACAACAATTTTAATGAATTAAATTATCTATTACTATCCCTCTTAGCCAATCTTATCCTAAAAGATCTGGCCAAAAGAAACTGATGAGTTTCGGCAAATCCCGGTCAGGTCCAGGTTTCAGTTGGGCTTGACGTGGAGCGGTACCGTAAGCTTCACGTAAGGTTAGGTTGGCAACCTAGATTCTAAGTTGGGGTAAACGTTTCAGAAAACATTTTAAATTATTACCTCACCGCTCTAATGGATGGCCACCGACACCCTGTTCTGGTACGTTCTAGTAGCGCAAGCACCATTCTTAACTGAATCCGAGACTCTCACGGGTACGGCAAAGATCTCCCGATCTCCTTGGGTAGGTGACGAGTGAAGCTGGTCACTGAGTGCTAGCTACTAGTAGTAGTTCCACTCACCACTCAGGTAGCCAGTAGTCAGTATGGATTTGCCGTGGCATGGGAAGGCAAACAATTCTCCGCAGTAGGAGGAGGCCTGCAACTGCAAAAGAAGCAGCTGTGGCACTTGCACGAGCTGCCGAGTGCAAACGAAGGAACACTGGGAGAACAGTGCGGGGAACACTGGTACCGCTCTAGCACCGGTACAATCCAACGGTACAGAATTCGAGTACGCAAGAATCAACCTCGTTAAGTCATCAATTCGGCACTGTGCATTGTACTCGAGTACCGTACCGTACGTGTTGATTCCAAGTGAGTTAGTCATGCATTCTTTCTAGAGGTACGCGGGTAACCTAGCTTCCAAAGAATGGCTGCGCTGGGCAGACGCTGCCGAGTGCCGAGTGGCAGCAGAAATACTGCCAAAGCCGTCAAGCAGGATCCAAAGCCACCCAATCAAGCGCGCTTGCTGCCAAGTGCCAAAACTATCGTACCTTCCGGTGGCCTGGCTGCTTCCGGACCTGGCACAGACAACGGTAACTGACCAGGTTTCGGCCAATCTGCTCCGGTACTGGTACTCTACTAGCAATTAATAGCTATCTTTACAGCCTGTCCGGGATCACTGTATGGATGGTTATCGTGTAGAAGAACTGACAACACAAAGATCCAGATCTATCTAACTAGATCTAGCTAGCTAGTAACAGTATGTAAGTGCTACCCGTGCCGTATTGGATTGGATGGTCACAGATCGGGATAAGGATTGGATTTGACAAAGACCGACCATCACAAGATACTTCTTCGCTGGGTTTGCGGCATGTATGTTGGAAAGATAGCTTCTCACATCCCTTTGTCGCTGTCCGTTGCTGTGTCCGTTGCTGTGTTGCGTTGTTCCCTGCACCATGTGGTATTGACTTCCGCTCTTTTGACCATCCATCCATCCATCCATCCGATCAGCTACCCCAGCTTAGCTTGGTTGTGGGACATCACCCCACCGGAACAGTTACGGCAAAGTCAGTTCAGTTCCTTCGGGATTGGTTGACCCCTACTGATTGATCATGGCTACTACCACCACCAACCGCACTGCATCTGACGACGACGACGACGACAGTGACATGGACGAGGCAGAAGATTTCCTGGCGTTTGATGACAACAACAGCAACAAGGAACCCAAAGAAGAAACCAAGGAAGATGACGACGACGACGACGGCACGCCCAGCGATCTGCCTCCTTGGATGGATTATCACACCAATGTTCGACGGGTGACACCTCTAGTCGCCTTGCACAATGAAATTGTGGGATTTTGCAATCTCATGTCACCCATGCCGGAAGAAATGGAACAACGAAAGGCACTCGTCGAGAGATTCAAAGTCCTCGCGCACAAGGTCTTTGGAAAAGAAGAAGAAGAAAAGGTGAGAAATTACATTTACAACGTCGTAGCCAGCATCTCGATTGATTTTTGAGTATCTCAAAACATTTCTGTTTGAATTAAATTTCTTATAGTGTCAAGTGGTGGTATTTGGTTCTCAAGCTACGGGACTGTTTCTACCCACTTCGGATATTGACATTGTCCTTCAATTGCCAGAGGAAGAACAAAAAAAGAAAGACGAGGAAGAAAATGCCGACAATAATAGTGCGGACAGCAGCAAACCACCAAAAGAGGAAGCTGATGACAACAATTCCGAGGGTGATGATACTGCCGACAGCAAACCAACAGGGGAATCTACGGACAACAACAACAATTCACAAGAACAAAAGGGGGAAAATAATATTGAGGAACCACCCGAGGGATCATGGAAGGATATGAGAGAAAAGTCCCCGTTGGATCGTTTGGCGGATGCCTTGCGAGAGGAATGGATCGACGAATTATCCTATCTCGAAGTCCTTTCCAAAACCAAAGTACCACTGGTCAAATTCACGCACGGGCCCACCAATTTGTCGGTCGATGTCAGTTTTTCCTTTCAACAAAAACAAGAAACCGGTCCCGGGGCGGCGACATTGATCAAAACATTGATGGAAGCCATGCCGCCCCTGCGGCCGCTCATTTTTGTACTCAAGTACTTTTTGAAAGCGCGCGTCTTGAACGAACCCTACAGTGGCGGTGTGGGCAGTTACATGTTGCAACTCATGATTGTCTCCTTTTTGCAACATCGGGAACGAGATGCCGTCACGTTTGGAAAGCCGGGATTGTACAATCTCGGCTGTTTGTTGGTGGAATTTTTCGATCTGTACGGGACCAAATTCAATTACCCTACCACCGGATTGAGTGTCCGGCACGATGGAGCCTTTTTTCGAAAGGGAGAACGCAAAGAGGCATTTTTGGCACCCAACCGGGTCTTTTCCATTGCGGTGGAGAATCCACTGGACATCACCATGGATGTAGGAAGGGCATCCTTTCGATATAACACGGTCCAACGATCCTTTGCGGCGGCCTACAAGGTACTGCTGGCACATGTCGCCAATCCAGCACAACCCACCGTGTCGATATTGGGCACAATTTTGCCTCCTTCGGATGAAATGATGGCGCGCAAACGAGCCAAAAAGACATCATCCGCCTTGACAGCAGCTCGAGGTGGTACCGGTACTGATGGTGGCGACTCACCACAACGAAAGAAGCGACGATTTCGTTGATGCCATTATTGAATGTGTGGGGAACATAATGTTTTGTTGAGTGCAAACGTACATGCATATTGCTAGATAGCTACAAATCCTGCCTTTACGTCTAGCTATCTACTCTGTGTGACCAGGTGATGCTGGGATACCGGTAGAGCACTAGTAGCCACATGTAGTAACGGTTAGTTGGGACGGGACGTTGGACTGAGGACCCAACTCAGGCGTCGAGTGATGTACCTCATCCACGCTTGTTGCTGTCATCATCTATCCACCGTTCTGTACTCACCTGCGCTCGTTACTGTATCATTCTGTCATCCACGCTTGTGATTCCTGGCATCGCGGATTCCACTGCATCTGCAGGTCCTCGATGCGATGATGGACGAAACATGTTGCCAATGGAAACGTAGCGATGTCAGTTCCATGAATCTTTCGGATGGCCGGCATATCAAGAGAGCTATCAAGAGCCATGTCAACAGCCACGGTAGCACTCGTGGCTAGCTAGGAGCCCCAGAAACAATCAGAAGAGAGGAGCACCAACCAACAGAAGCAAACCGAAATACATACTAGTCTAGTATGCTTACATCTTCACGCCTCAGTGTAATCCCGAATGGAGAGTTGATTGCAAGGCTTACCAGTCAGGTTAACACCGCGCACTGAACGTCATAAATAATGGGGGATGGGGGTGCCGAAAAATCAACTGCGTACCTGATACCGGTACCTGGTACCGGTACGGTACCTGGTACGTGGAAAATTTCGGTTTTCGCGCCACCCTCACGCCAGCCAACCACCATAAACTCCGACAAAAGATCCAAGCAAACACGATGCACAAACAACAACAACAACAACAACAACAACAATGAGTAGTCCAACAAACAAGAACACTACTAACACATCGTTCGCAACCAATGACAATGACACAATGATAAAGCGTTCTGGTAGTTTTTCTTCGGCTGGTGGCAGTCATGGCAATCATTTTCATTCATCAGGTGGAGCAACATCTGTTCCAGAGTGCATTTTGCATACCGAGAAGGGAGCGGTCGCTTTGGAGGAAGGGAGTGATGAAAATCAAGCCATCTCTTCCAGCCTCGCTTCTTCTGTTGCAAAGAAAGCCTTTGCTTTAAGCGTCACGGTTGCCGATGCGGCTGGCATACCAGCTGAACGGTTAGGACAAGGAGGATTGATCCAATGCCCTTCGATGCCCACCGAGGACGGCAGTCCTCCTGGACCCAAGAAACGGAAGCTTTCGGATGCGTATGGAAAACCTCGTTCGGCCATAAAACATTCCTCCTCCACTGAGCGTGTCTCTGCCATCCCTGTCACGGCCCGGCACAATGTTTTGCAAGATTATTGTCGACAAGAGCACTACACAGTCATATCAATTCCTCTCATGTCAAACCCTCCTTTCGGTGGCGACGATGGATTAATCAGAGCCCAAAAGTTCGAATCACACAATACGGACTATTCCTCTGGGGACGCGATGGAGATCAATTTTCCAAACACCAGCGAGGGCAGGTTTTCGTGGAAGTACGGCTGTGATATAACTAGTGGTGATGTAATCCGCAAGAAGTTCTTACCACAAACCGACAGAAACATTTCTTTTGAAGCAGTTGGCTCCAGCTTCGAATACAAGATCGGACAGAAGATTGGGATGGCAGTGTACCGGAACTATGAATTTGACTTCACCAGCCACGACATATATGCGAACCATGACTGGGACAAGAACAAATTATCGCAGGATGACATTTTACGATTGTTTGGGAAAGATTATTCTGTTTCTATCTACACAGGTGAAATAACTGGTATCTCTACCGACGGAGAGGTGTTCCGTCACGATATCAACACCTTCAGAGGCTGCTCCGGTGCCATTGTGTTTCTTTTAGACAAAAACCAGGATGGACTTGTGGAAGACCAATATTTTGGAAAAGCTATTGGGGTTCACGCAGGCGCGCATAAGACTAAGACGACGACAGACAATACAAGAGCTAGAAGTGAATCCAGCAAGGCAAATTTCAACATCGCGTTTGCCTTAGCAGGTTTTGCTGATAAGGAAAAGTACAAGCCCCCACCATCAGAGACCGATGAAAAGTAAAGAAGGAGATATTGATCTTTCCCGTCGGATTGACAAGTCTGGTTGCAGTCTCTTCATGCCATGAATGACTCTACTGTGAGCCAATGAGATCCCACCCCTTGAAACGTTGTTATTGCCAGATGCGCCTTCCTCGTCCTGTTCAATAGGCCGGAACCGTCCCTCTCCTTCGCTTCTACTGAGTAGCCAGCATCTCTACCCGAACAATGAAGATAATTGTAGCCTTCAGCACATATCCCAGTGATAGATACCCGTCGACAATCAGGGACCTGGGAGCTGACCTGGGACCTTCCCCATCGAACAGCTCATTGAACTCGGCTATCGATTGAATTATGTAGCGGTACAGCTAGCTGTTCCTGTACAAGTACACGTCATTCTGTCTCTCATTGTCCCGCCATCATCACGATTAACGAAAGCTCGCCACGCGAGTGTGAAATGCAACAAAGGAATTATTGTTTGCTGCCCCTGATAGGGAACTGCTTACAGTTCCGCGCCAGTTGTCAGAGCTTTGGAATTTCTGACTTGTGCTCGAGCACCGTGCGTGGCCGCTGCGGATGTTTGTACATCATTCATACGATTTTAGCTCATGTAGTCTAGACTAGTCTAGCTAGTTTATGTACATGTAGAGAGACTTGAAGGCATCAAGACGAGTGAGGCTTGGGTTATGGTGGCTGCCTTGTCAAAGAAGAAACTGGCCCCGTTGTTGTGGCTGGATGGCTGGAAGCACGCCGCATGGACTGGCGCCAACTCTGGCAGATTCGATTCGATTCTCCAAGAGACTCTCAAGCATGACTTGACGGAGTGAGTCTACATCGCTGGCTGGCTAGAGAGCTCTGGGTCTTGGGTGAAGGTCTAGGTCCTCTAGGTTTTCTTATAGGGAGCCAGAATTCTTCTCTTTTTCTCTAGCTCACTTTGGAATTCTCTGCTCATGAGGAAGATAGAGTGTCACTGCAGAGAAGAAGGATGCATCCATGGCGGAATGGATCTATCTTCCTGTTCAAACTGGTTGCAGCTAAGAGAAAGCTGATACATGTAGCATGTACTCCAGTATTAATAGCACAGAAACTCTTTTGCTAATTCCAGAGGAAAGGATGTATGTCAGCCACATTCCAATTTCCCTTTTTCTGCAACGTGTTGATTACAAGGGTAATTAAGGGCAATAGAGGTGGTCTGCCACCTCAAGACGACGTTGGGATGCTCGACTCGATTGATCATTCATTGGATTTCGCAGACCGCAACTCCGGAAAGTGGAATTGCCATTTCTTGAACAATTTCCCAAAAAGCTCAATTCCGAACCCCATCGCGCTCGCCATTGATCAAAGAGCCTTTCCACTACCGGTATCTATCTTTCGTTGTTGCGAGAAGCGGCACCAGTATACACTTGCCATCGAATCCTGCTTGCTTGCTATTGCAACATAATCCGTAGACGAGAGCCAGATCGATCTTGGTTGCTGTTATCTCTGTACCGTATCACAAAAATCCAACATGCCTCCACTACCATCTACTCCTGGGTATTCCACTTTGTGTGATGAATTTCCTCTGTTATCCTTCTGCTTTCAACCCAAGGCAGACAGTGATACTATTAATGAAGACGAGAGTATCGATCTTGTCCTCCGCTATCCATTGCGACGCGCCGAATTTGGCGAAACACTGGAAGAACTGAGACTCCTTGGCAGACACCCTGTCGCTCTATCCAGCATTCGCTCCGTATTTGTCCACAAGGACGTATTTGCTCGCGTCTCCATGGACCAACAACAGGCACTCTACGCCACACTGGGAGAATCACTCGGTGCTAAGTTGACCGAATTCAGCTTGTCGTTGCTCAAAATGTCCATTCCTGCGCTTGCTCAGTTGCTGCAAAAGATGCCCAACCTCGAAAAACTCCATTTGGGACGCGTCAGTCTCGTGCAACGAGACCAGGCCGTACAACTCTACGCGGCGCTCCAGAAGAAACTCCCCAACCTACGCGAATTTCATTGGTCTTTAATGCCGGCTCCGGACAATGAAGCTCCGCTCTTTCAACCATCCGACGACGACAACAACAATAATAACAATCCATGCATGGATCCCCTCCTAATTTCGTTGGCCCAAATTCCAACACTGGAATGCGTCTACCTGGCCGCACATCGACCTCGTGGCGGACGCATTCAAACGGCGGCCGCCTTGAAAGCGCTCGCCCAATCACACGTGACCGATTTGACGTTGGTCAATATTCCATTGACTCCGGCACATGTCCATGCCTTGATGATGACATCCACAAACCACTCGTTTACATCCCTCGCATTGCTGCATGCCGAAATTGGAGACGTCGGAGCCCAAATCATTGTCCAATCAGGACTTTTTAAGAACCTCAAAAAGCTCTACCTTCCCGCTTGTCACTTGACCGATGTCAGTGGTATCGCATTAGCAGGTGCACTACGAAACAGTAATACAAGCTTGCAAGTGTTGGATGTACACGACAATCACTTGACGGCGGCCTTTTGTCAAAGCTTGACTCTTCAGTCGTTGCAATTCTTGGATGTCAGTTACAATCCTCTCAGAGACGCCGGTGGCATGGCATTGGCGGCGGCACTCGAACACAATACGAAATTGTCCACCCTCTACATGTTTCAAAATCAAATTACGGACCAAACATGTGCCGCCTTGGCGACGGCATTGTATTCCAATCGACACTTGAAACAAGTCAATCTCTACAACAATCCAAAAGTGAGTACGCAGGGAGTGCAATCCCTCTTGCATCATTTGGAAGATACCAACTACGTGTTGGAACGATTGGAAGTATCGCCGTTGGAGAGTCGCGAGACGGAAGAAGCACTCGACTTTTTGCTGACGCTCAATCGAAATTACGGACGAAAACAAGTCTTGTCGTTGGAGAAGGAACAAGAGTACCTGGAACAAGGACTCGTCAAAGCCATGGCACAAGACGATCTCAATTCGCTCTTTTATTTTCTCAAACGAAAACCAACGCTCTGTCAGCAACAAAAACAACCGCCATCACGACGAAAACCATGTTCCAACCAAGCCATTGCCACAATTGCATTGGAAGCCTGTGCCATTGCCGGGGAAGGGATGTGACAAGGGAATTTGTTTACGTCAAGATCGCGTCTGTAGAATATAAAATTTTAGAAAAACCTTTTTGAAAAACGCAATGTACAGTACTGTGATTGTGGATCATGCATAGTGCATGGAAGCTGGCTACCTGTAGTTGTTCCCTGCACCGGTGCCGTACTACGAAAATGTGCCAGGCCAGTGTGCACATCCACGGTTTGGGTGCGCATCGCTTGGTTCTTTACGGGTGTACAGTCCTACCGGTACCGGTTAGAATATGGATATTGCCCAAGTCGGGTTTGCAGCTTCTTGGCGCCTCTCGTTAGGTACTCTCACTGGAAATTTGGCGGGTGCAGGAGCCATCACCATTGCTGTGGTCTACTATTGCCAATGAAACTATGATGAGAAGGTGAAAGTTTCGAATTCTGTTGGTTGATTCTAATATTTATGCATTATAAGCTACATTCAATACAAAGTCATGTAGATGTGCAATAATCGCTCAAAGCTGCCTCTTCCCGGACATGCATGTATGCCCAGTCGGTTGCCTGGCTGCTTAGCAGCAGAGAGAAGGCTTGGCTTGCAAGAAGAAGTAGATGGAACTCAAATCATTCTTGGCAACCGCCTCATGAATTCCATTGACATACTCCACTTCCTTTGTCTCGAGTTGAGACAACATTTCACGACGACCGTATTCGCGGTTCAACCGCAAGTACATGTCCAATGCAGAGGCCCCCTTGTTCGTTTTTGAAATTTCGAGACGTTCCAGGTCGTAGTTGTCATGTTTCAAGGCTTCTGCCAAGGCATCCACTCCCTTGGAATCCATCTTTTCATTGTTGTACAGATTCAATCGCTTCAGGGTAGTGTTCACACGCAAAAGGCTGGCAAATGCCTCGCAGGAACGGTTGGTCAAGGCTGTGTCAAACAGGTTGATTTGCTTCAAGGTAGTATTGTTGTGTAGTGCCGAGACAATGGGCTTGACGCCAGAATCCTTCAATTGGTTGCTGGACAAATCCACAAATGTGACAGTCTGGTTGTTTGTCAACATGTGTGCCAGTTCCAGACCAAACTTGTGGGTGAATTGGTTTGCGTGCAAGTCAAGGACTGCCAAGGACGTCTTGTTCGAAAGAGCCCTGGTAATCTTGGCACCGCCAACATCTGTCAATTTGTTGCCGGGAAGACTGAGGGTCCGCAAAAAGGAGAGTCCTTTCTTTGCGAGACTGTCTGCTAGGATGGAAACTCCTTCGTCTCCCAGGTTGGCCTTGACCAAAGACAATGAATCGAGAGAGACATTGGAAGACACAATGGCTTGACAGTGTTCCTTGTGCAAGGGAAAATGCACCAAAGTGATGTCTGTGACGGACGAGTTGTGAAGGAGTGATTCCAGTGTCTGGGGCTGGATATCACTGTTGTGGGCAAAATTCTGGCCAATAGACGCATAGATCTTCTTCAAGGTCTGGATGCCTGACAGAGATTGGAAGAGGGTATCAAATTCATCGCCCACCTGGAAGAACAGCTTTTGACCTTCCGGTGCGATGGCTGTCGTGGACAAGCTGAAGTGAAAGTCTTGCAGAGCTTCCAATCCTTGAAGTGCCGAGAAGAAGATGGCATCATCCTGGCTGTTGTCATCTGAAGACAAGAGCACGATGCGGTCCAGGCTGAGGACTTGCAAGTGCTTGGAAGATCGGAGCATCATGTTGGCCAAGAGTCTCACGGGCAAAGACACAAAGGATGCGTGAATCTCCCTGAGGTTGTGGAGGCAATCAAAGATGTCAGACTCCTCCTTCTCTGACAAGTTTTTCAAGAAGAGCTTGTGAACATGAACAGAAGAAATGTGATGGCTGCAAGAGCGAAGTGCTTCCACAAAGTCAGCAACATTGCAGGACGGCCTCATGTCCAACAAGAGCTCCATGGTGCCATCATTTCGGGCCACCAAGTGATCGGAAAGAAGGGACGATTCCTGGGAGAAACTCATTGTGATAGAAGTATGAATAGTAGTATGCTTGGTTGTTTCTTTCCTAGTTCGAGTGTGGAAGCAAAATTGTGAGCAAGGATATCCTTCTATGGTACGGTATCCGTCTCATCCCGGCTCCGTGGCTCGAATCGGCAACAGAGAGCTGCCGATCCACCACCAAGAATCGCGGACTTTCCTGTGGGTAAGTTTCCGATCAGCAGCTTGACCACTATGTAGGAGTCCTAAAGAAAGGAGCAGATGCTTCGCATTCCACAAAACAGGGAACAGGGATTTGGATGGCCATAGGCCATACAGCTGTACGGTACCGGTACTTTGTACTGAGACAAGTACTGAACATGGATTCGCATTTGGTTGCAATGACTGCTGTCCCTTGGGAATTAAAGAAAGACCCTTTTGCACTTTGTGCTTCCGAAAAAAAGCCTCTTCCCCAAAGCTGTGGGGGTTGGGGCAATTTTACCATGACATTGTGTCACTTGCACTGCTGTGGTGGTGGCTAATCCTATACTGCACCAGTACATCAGTACCAGTAACCGGTAGTGGCAGTTGCCCCATACCCCGGTATTCATAGAAGTAACCTTCTTTCCAATTAATTGGAAAAGTTTATTAAGTCATACTGACAGTATGACAGAGGGAAGGTGCTTCTGATGTCCTTCTGATGACTCAGGTCAGCCTTTGGCTTTAAATAAAAAGGGGGGGGCACGATCTTTACGGCATTGGCTTGACATACTGTCTTGGGCTTCGATAAATGATTTAATAGTCTATCTTGAACCTACTAATGCTGGAAACTGGACACAGGTTAGTGGCGCCTCGCAGAAAGACCAAAGGTTGGGCATTCAAGGAGAAAGCTTCTCATTGAGGCCAGAAGAGCAGAAGAGGAGAGCACGAGCGCACGAGCATACGGGAGCAGTGCAGAGCGGAGCAGCCATCATACATCATCCCTTACAAGCCCAAGTGCATACCAGTTTACATGATGGACTACATCTGGTGGCGGCTGCTGGCTATCATACCTACTGGCTCCAGCCCCAAGAGATTTGCACCAGTCTGGATGGTTTACGTTTTTGATGCTGCCGTCTGCTGCCTGTTGCTTTGTGGGAAGAGCCATGTACGATAGTCACCATGTCCCAGGTCATGGAAGCAGAAAACCACTGTGCGGGCATTGGTGCCGGTGCGTTGCTGAAACCTGCCAGTCTTTCGGTACCGGTACTACGTGCCGCTGTGGTCGTAGCTAGCTAGTAGTAACCACTCACTCGAGTACAGAAGTATGCATAGCTCTCCTTTTCACTCTTGGATGAAAGATGAATTGATGAGATACCGGAAGGTTTTTGCAATGGCAACTCTCTTTGACACCCATTAGTAGCCAAAAACGCCGCGAGCTGGGAAAGTTGAAACATGCCCGTGATAGCTCCCGTGATGCCACTGACATGACTATCCTAGCTCTAGCTCGCCAGCCAGTCAAACAACAAACGATGGTTGGCGTCTTGAGAGTTCCTTGCAATTCACCATTCTTCTGCTGCTGCTCCAAACCGACAGAGCCCCGCGAAGTTTGCATCCGTCGGTGAACCTTCACCCTCTCCATCCAGCGATACCGTAGCCCAGTTCCAGTACCAGTACCAGTACCACCGCTCGTTTACTCGGGTACCCTACAGAAGTAGCTCTCCTTTTCACTCTTGCAAAAAGATGAAATGATGAACTAGATCTACCGAAAGGTTTTTGCGATGGGAACTCTCTTTGACACCCACGGTAGCCAAAATTTGGACGCCGAGAGCCGGGGACGACTGAAACATGTCCGTGGTGTCATTGACATGCCTACTGGTTACTCTAGTAGCTATCTAGTAGCTAGCTCGATGGTTGGCGTCTTGGAGAGTTTTGCAATTCATCATTCTTCTGCTGTTCCAAGTTCCAAGGAAGCTCTAGCTAGGAGACCGACCGGGCCCAGCAACCAAGTTTGCTTCCGTCGTTGAACAGTTACCCTCTCCATCCAGCCATAGCCCAGTTCCAGTACAGGTACCACCAATTGCGACGAACACACCCCATTCCACTCCATTTTCGACCAGCAACTGGCAGTCATGTTCCCGGTAGTCTTGTTTTTGCAGTCTGCGCTTCTCACATCATGTGAAAAAGTGGAGTTCCTCAACCTAGACTAGCTAGCTAGGCATAGCTCCTACCGGTACTAACCTCGGCAGTCTATCTGCCTGAGCCCTCACCCCCTTTTTTGGTATTTCCTGTTTCCTGCTTCCTGTTCCGGTGAAGCCAAAATATAGGGATAGAGATAGGCACAAGCCAACTCTACAAATTTAGGGGTACAGTCGTAGGAATAAATCATGATTATTCAAGGTTAGTGCACTCAACACAATAAGCCAGCAGAAGCTACAAAAATTACAGGTACGTACGGGCGTGACAGCTGTAAAATTATGGTTAGCGGGCGGCAACACACGACGAAGTCGGGTGTTGTCGCCAGGGCTAGCTTACATAAAAAAGAAGGTTATAATGAAGGAATGATACCGGGCGGCAGGGCTACTTTGAAAGAAGGGTGAAATCTCAAACATGTCATCATTCTTCTATCTGTCTTTCTGCCGAGGTATCGCAGCTCCCGCTGACTTATTAGTACGCAATAACCACTGGCCGGTCATGAACTCAGACCATTTCCCTCGGGTCTAGCTTGTCTACGAAGTGCCAGTAGTCATTGTGGTTGTAAGAAGAGGAAGGTGGTTGCTTCCACTCCGCTCCCACGAAACATCAATAAGTAGGTTTTACTACGTGAATAGCAATATTTTGGGCTAGACTCTAATAGTAGCGCACTGATTCACTCATTCTTGGAAAGAGCACAAACAACACAAGGAGATCGCAGCACGATCCGTCTCCGTCCAGGAGGTGGACAACGGAAGAAGAAGGTGATGGAGGATCTTGCTTTTGTCAGGAACACATCAGAAGGCAGAGCAAGCCTTTGAGCGTCCTCAGCCTGCTTGGCGTATCCTCGATCAATCATCGATTTGAAGGCAAAGGGGATTCAGCCACTATGGTCCGTGCAACATGGCAACCGAGGCCCAGAAGTTGTGCCACAATGGTAACTCAATGGTGGTGGCTCCTCTCTTCCCGCACGCACCGAGATTGCGCCTGAGCTGCTGTATGCAAAAGTGAAATAAGTGTGGGTGACTTGAACATTGCTCGTGCAGGATGGTCGCTCCTCCGCTGTACAAGGGAGTGCTGGGAGTTGGGCACTCCGCAAGCAGTGATCAAGTAAGATTCTATAGCAGTCACAACGAATTGTAGGGATGTAGCCATCAGACGCTCCAGGATAGAATCCAGTATGGTACTACCTCTTCAACAAACGAGAAGGTTTTAAAAGCTCGTTCGTGTTGGTGCGCATGCTTCTCTTCAAGCCCTGTACTAATACAGGATACCCGGCAAACTACCGGTTGCCTGGGAAGTGGCTGTCAATGTTAGCTGGCCAGCCGGCTATCTAGACTAGAAGATAGCTTCTGCTTCCAACGATCCTACATGTACTAGTATTCGAAATTAGATCCGGATTGACCTGGTAATTCTCACCCGCGACGAGAAAGCTTCTTGGTTGTCTCTGATCATAGAACATCTGACGGTTTGGCCAGTATTTACTTCTTCAGCTAGAACCTGCTGAGGATTATGAGGGAGGACTGCTCTGGAGTACTCGACTAGTAGCTGGTTAGACAGTCTACAGTTCCCAACAAACACGATGTCATGACCTAATAATTCCTGCACGTTGCCACTCAAGGAAAGGAAGTGCGTACCGGTAACAGCTGAATCGAATCTTCATACTCAGTACTTCATATGGTACATCGCAAGAAGCATGTCCAAACGGAAAGGGGTGGTTCTAAGTCATTCGTCGTGGATCCGCAAAATGGTGGTGGTTGTTTGGATGTTGGATTCAATCAATCATTCCGCTGGGTAGATCTAATCACCGAAGTCTTTTTGCATTGCTTTGTAATCTTGGATTGTGCCTCCACTGCTCATCATCTCTCACAATTTTGAAGGACAGGGAAGCACACATCCATCAAGCCATATCATGTCGACGACTCTGACACTCTCCGACAGCTCTGTGCTGAGCCAGTTCCTCTCTTTGCGAGATGAGAACTCCTTTGAGCTAGGCTTGGAAGGCGGCTGTCCCAAGGAGAACGTCAATGAGTTGACCCGAGCTCTCATGATCCATTGCAATCAAGACAACGTCCCCAAGATTACTGCCCTTTTCGTTCACAAGTCTTTCTCGAAAGCATTGTCTGAGGATGACTTGATTCAACTTTTCAATTGTCTGCCTGACCTGGACGAGTTGTCCCTCTCTTCGGTAACTATGTCGGTAAAGGCTCTCGTTGTGCTTGTAGCCCAGGCAAAGCACCTGAAGAAGATTCGCCTGGATCGCATTGTCCTTCTTTGCCAACGGGCTGAAACAACGGGCGTGACAGCTCGGCTTTGCAAGGCTTTGTCGGCATTGACGGGGCTCCATTCATTTCACCTTTCCCTTGGGTCTGATTCCACTGGCATCGACCGACGTGTCATCCCGTTGTTTGCTGGGGAGAACACCGACCTGGATGTCCTCGTTCGGGCGATATCTTCCCTCGAGAACCTCAGATCTGTCTATCTAGGCCGGGACGGTCGGAATCAGCAATCAAACTTGCTCCCGCGTGCCTTTGCGGCTCTTGTGCAGACGACAGAGAGTGTTACCATAAGAAACATGGCGATAAGCCCTGCTCATGTCAGACAGTTGCGGTCCCAATCGCTTCAGTCGTTGAACCTGATTCAGACTGACCTGAGAGATGACGGTGCCTTGGCACTATCTCGGTGCATTGCTGAAGGCTTGCTACCGTTCTTGAACAAACTGTATGTAGCAGGGAACGCCATGACAGACGAAGGCGCTGTTGCGATTGTTAAGGCCATTCAGAGCAATCCTGTCAGAAGAAAGTTGGAAGTACTTGACCTTCACGACAACTTTCTGATGTCGACGACAGGCGCAGCGGTTTCGGTACTCTTGGGATCCAACTGTGGTTGCGGCCTTACCTTCCTGGATCTGTCCTGCAACCCAGGGTTGGGTGACCACGGTGGCGTTGCTGTGGCTTCGGCTTTGGCAGACAACTGTACGCTAGAGCAACTATGCCTCTTTGGGTGTGGACTCGGCAATCAGACTTGCAAGGCAATCGCTGCGTCCTTGTCAAGGAACCGTACCCTGAAGCGTCTAAACTTGTACGACAACCAATATATCGGAGAACAAGGCGTTCTGGCTCTTGTGGAATGCTTGCAAGATCAAGCCTTCTATCTGGAACGGCTCGAAATCAAGACTTCTCAGCTCGTATCAAGGACTGCTGACAGTGAAGGCAAACATCCTAAAAGCACATTGGACTTCTTCCTGCGCCTAAATCGCGAATTCAAGCGAGGCGAAGCACTGTTCAAGTCTGAAGCGGACTATTTGAAGGGGCCCGTTGCCAAAGCATCTGAGCTTGATTTGAGTTCTCTATTTTATCTGCTGTCTGCTCGACCAACGCTGTTCTCCCCGCCTGCGTCTCGAACCAGGCAAGCTATCGTACACCTGCACAAGCTGTGTCATCCAGTGGCTCTCCCTCTTTCCCAGAAAGGGACGAGCTCTGTGGCCGCCAAGGTGTTTTGCAACCCGCAGGCATAAAAGACCTGCAACTAGAACGCCAGTTTGATATCTCCATTGCGGGGTGTCCTTATCGCGGAACGAGGCAGGCGCTTCACTCAATCGCGGCCAATTCCTTCCGCACCCACTTCCATGGGCGGAGCACTTGCAATGGCAAGACTGCGCCAACCAATTACATTGCTACATTGTACTACATAGAAGAATACTAGTAGAATACATCAACTGACAGTCTGTGTATGCCAGCCCCCAGCTAGCAGAACCAGGGGATCTCTCCTGGTACCAGTAGTGTCGATTGTTGACTAGGTCGTTGTTTTCAACTCTGGCCGATATCCCTTTTCAATGTCTGCACAAGCCATAGAGCAACGCATACAGTCTGTACATTAGGTCAACCTTGATGTAATGAAAGGAAACACTATGAGGCGAGCAGTGAGCGGCTCCCTCCACCAAACTGTTGTCGCCTTGCAACAGGTACGCCGCGTACCACATTTTGTTGTGATACTTGTCGTGTGGAAGTCGAAAGTCGTAGTGAAATCCCGGTGAATACGGATTGTAGCGCTCGCCTCCACTGGCATCCCGAGTATCAAATGGCAAGATGCCCAGTTCTTTAAAGACTTTGGCAATCATGACATCTTCGGTAAAGGTATGATCGCCGGTATAGTAGTTTGGAAGTCCCTCCACTACCAATGCCTTGAGCGCAGCCTTGTTCAAGGTATATCCGCCGCCTCCCTGGTTGAAGATATTGTCCTTGTTTCCCTCGTAGGCCAGGCGGCCTCCAAGAAAGAGTGGCATTTGCAACGTGGTTCCAGTCAGTGTTGTTTCGGTGGTTCTTGTTGTCCCATTGTGGAACGTGTTGGCTGCCATGACAATATCCTCACTTTCCAAATACGATTTGAGGTTTTCTGGAATGACAAACATGTCTTCACCCCCAATGTGGAACCAATCGTATTCCTGATAGTAGTTGTCGTAGACATAACTCCATACAGACCGGATCTTTTGCCAAATGTTTTCATACTTTTCTTCCCCCTTGTGCGGAATTTCCGCCGTATTGAGTGAAAGGTCGGTCTTGGTAGACGCTACCATGAATCCATCGCATTTGGGACCCCACGTATTGCGCAAGGCGGGTATCTTGTCAACGTGGCTGCTTTCCGTGGTATAGACAATGCACAAGAGTCTGACAGGAGTCCTATGTAGATTGTCTGTTGGGGATGCCACTGGTATTACCGACACTTGTTCCTCTATCATTTGATAATTGGAATCTCTCAAAGCACAAGCTTGCGTTAAAAAAGATTCATTTAGCAAAGGAGTAAAGCTACTGGGTGGATGGTTTCTTAGGGCCGTTGGATCATGTCGGTACCCCCATTCTCCCTGTTCATCCTTGGCACCTCGATGTGGATGATTTCGATTTCCATCTCTGACATCCAGGTACTCGATATCCACGGGCAGCCATGGTCTGACGGTGTGATTCTGGACTGTGGCATTACTGATCCTCTTGTTGGAAAACCGACCAAAGAGTGGCGTCTGGTCTTCTTTGTCCAAGGAATATTGTTTGACATACTCCGTCAATCCAATAAAAGTGAAACTCCAAACACATGCCACAATGAACCACAATCGAATATGATCATCTAGTGTGGAAGAGGATAATAAGGCAGATGAAGAGACTCTTCGTGGTCTACGCTTACTAATGGTGCGCTTTCTATTGGATCTTGTACTGAAGGATAGTGAGCTGTTGGAAGAAACAGACGATGGAGAAGACGTCATTTCGTGGTATTGAAGCTACAGTTTTGTTGACGACGCCATGGCCAAACGGGGAGACGATGACCAAGGATCAAGGAAAGCTAATTTGTTGCCCTGTCTCATGGTCGCCATACTTTCTTGTAAGTGAAGTGTCACAGAAAACGATATTTCCAAAAGGCTTAATGAAATAGGCTCCCAAACTTCGGTGCGCCTTTTTGTACTTAGGGGGAAGAAAAACGGTCACACCGACTGGTACCACTCGTTGAACAAGCACACAGGAAGATCATCTCTGTCTCCTTGCTTTGTTGATGAAGCCACAAGGGACAAAAGAGATTGAATGAGCTTTGGAAAGCAACAATCTACTTTACAACCAATTCAGGTCTTGAATCGCGCGCCTTGAAAGAGACAAACTCCTTTGTCTCGTGGCTGCAGCGGAAAGTCTGGATTGTGACAAAGATATCAACAACAACAAGTACACTTATTAGCAGTGTAGCGGAACACAGAACAAATACTATAGCTTAGCAGAGAGCTGAACATAGCCGAGACAACCTCTCAAGATGGTGAAGAAGTCGTCCCAACCATCCTTGTTACAGGCTGCAGGTAGAACCCGAGTAGGCGGCATTCGATTGGGTTCGTTCTCCACCTCGGGCACTGGATCCTTTTCTAACGCCAACAACAGCAAGAACAGCAAGAAAGATCCTCCCGAAAAGACACATTTCCGACTTCCCAGTGGGGCAGGAGCGGCTCTAGGATGTCAAAACCCAAAGTCTCCCATGTCGTGTCTGACACCCGAGGGAGCATACAACGATAATCTCTACTATCAAGATGTTGACGACCAAGTTCTCGTGGTCAAGCAAGACCCCGAAGAAGAGCGAGATGCTGGTACCCCAGAAGAGCTACTAGTCCTCAAGGCAGATGCTCCCGTCCGAGATACCATCGACAACAACAACAACCCAGAAGAAGAACGCCAAGATTCCAACGACCCGCCCATCTTCAAGTCTCCCCGCCACATGTTGCACCGACGTGCGAGTGATGCTGCTGTCGTTGCACCCATGGCGAGTGGATTCAGCGACGTCGATGGGACACCCAAAAAGATGAAGCACATGGAGTTGAACGGTGGCATTGCCTTCACGGCCCCATCGCCCATTACTCTGGACCGGGTCGTCCTGCAGGCCAGTCAGGAACATGCCACGCCCAGCAAGAGTGCCTCGAACAGCACCGGGGAGGTTAGTAAGGAGCCCCCGATTGTGGTGGAAAACAATGACGAAGAAGGAACTCCGGCGATTGAGAAACTTCTCACTCCCAAGGTTATTGTCACCAAGGTCTCGGAACCCGATTTGTCCGAATCGCCCAAGAACGATGATACTGATGACAACACTAATAATACCTCCACCAATAATAGTAGCAAGCCAGAGAAGGATAAGACCAAGAAGATTGCCTTTGACAAGGTCCGACGACTCTTGAACCGGATGAAACCCAAGGAAGTCAAGGCCCTGGGAAAGCGTGGGAGCGGGAGTGCCGCCACCAGTGCTGAAGATCAGGCATCGTCCAAAAAGACATCGTCTAAACAATCGACCACATCCAAGGGACAGTCCACAACGGCGTCATCGGCAAAGGCAAGCAAGACATCGCTGGCATCCAAAAAGGCCGTCCTGTCGCAGGCGTCCTCCAAGAGATCAGGGCTTGGATTTGCATCCAAGCTGGGCTCCAAACTTGGCTCGGTTACCAAAACTGGTTCGGTCGCCTCGTCCAAGAGTTCGTCGTCATCCAAGGCGTCCGGTATCAAAAAGGCGTCGTCCAAGGACTCGTCCAAAGTCGCCGCCGACGCGGCCACGATGGCAGCCTCTCAGGCGGTGGAACAAGCCGCATCGAAATCAGGGTCAATGCCATTGTCATTGGCCAAGCTCTCCTCCTCCAGAAATTCATCGTCCAAGGGGTCGTCCAGAGCCGCCACAAACGCCTCCAGGGGGCCCTCCTTGGCCGATATTTTGCAGGCAGAGGCGGAAAATGAAGAAAACTCGGCATTGAACATGGAGGATCCTGCTCACCCAGGAGACACATTGATGGATCATGACTACGAGGACGAGGAAGGACCCTTTGACCAAGAGCTCAAGAAAGAATTGACCAAGGAGCTTATCATGGATACAGCAAAGGATACTGGAACCGACCTTGACGATGGCGTTTTGGAAGAAATAATTTCGCAGGTGTCGTCCACGCGAGGATCCTTGCAGAGCTCCATTCACAAACTCATTGAGGCGCAGTCACGGTCTGTATCTACATCGATTGGAACCAAGTCATCGGGAAGAGATTTAGAAGAAATGCCCACCTTGACTTCCTCCGAAAAGAGAGCCTCATCTGACTTTTACCAGACGCTCTTAGCAAGGGCCATGAAACTGAAGGGTTCCAAGGATGGTGGAGTTTCCAGATTGAGAAAGATCTCCTCGGATTCGTCGCCTTCGGTGTCGAGTAGCGCCAAGAAGGCATCTTCCACCAAGTCTCCCGCAGCCTACTCAGCCATGTCCAACCAGGACCAATCCAGAAGCGCAAAAGTGAGCCAAGCAAGCGCAAAACTCTCGTCCTCTAGCCCGGCAAGTAACAACTCAAGCAGGAAGAGCGACGCTCTCAAGTCCACTACTCGCGGGACGCCTGCTGCCTCTCAGAAGTCTGGTGCCTCCGAGAAACAGGCATCCGTGAAATCGAATCCTATCCCAACCGAGATTGGTGTTACCAGGAAGATTGCTTCTAAGCCTGAGACACCAGCGGGAACGGTGTCTTCTATCCCAAGAGAGGTCGTTGTCACGGAGAAACCTCCCTCGACAAAGGCCAAGAAGCGAACCATTCGTGGCGACACCTCCCCGCAAGATTCTTCGCAGCGTGACTCTGTGTGGGAAAAGCTTTGGGAGAAATGGGAACCCTTTCGCAAAGAAGGCCAAGATCCCCCACCAACGCAAAACGCTGCATCCAAGCCGCCGATTTTGAAACACAGAAACCATGAAGACAATCAGCACGACAAGAGAACGGATCCTCCAGAATCCGTCGTAGATGTCCCGATTGACGAAGAAGAACCCCTGGTTGATGATAGGCGTCGTGGTAGCAAAGTTTCAACAAATAGTGAAGGTATCATTGTCATTGAAGACAATGAGATTCTCTACGATTTAGAGAGCCGAGATGGCCCAAACTTTGGAGGTAGTGAAGACCAAAACAACCGTGGTCAAAAGATTCATATTATCTCTGATCGAGAGCCATACGGTCAGGAGAAACTCAGTGGCAAGAAGAATCGCGGTCAAGATAGGTATAGCGCTGACGTCCAAGAAACTCGCGGACGCTCTCGACAGCCCATAGTTTTCACATCTTCGGACCTCGACGACAACGACAGATCCGGGCGACGGTCGACTGGTAGTCGCAACTATGATGATGCCACGTCAGAAGCTTCACCCGAGCCACTGTTATTCGTCGCTTCTACGCTAGAGTCACTCGAACGCTTGAAGAGTACCGCCTCATCAATGGCAGATTCAAAGATAAGGTCTCGATCTTTCTCACCAAATAGATCCCCTCGTTTCGTGGGTGGAAAGCCAGTGAGAAGAGCCAGTGGTGTTCCATCAGAGCTTGAGTTCCCAATGACGCCTATCGACGTCGAAGACTCGATCACCATGACACAGCGCCTTAACAAGTACAAGATTGGTGGAGGCAACCTAAGTGTTCCAGAACCCTCGACCACCAAACCGGATCTTCCCGACGTCATCCTTGTGGAACCCCCAGTGAAGTCCAAAGCAAAAACTTCAAATGTACGAGACAAGCTTAAAAAGAAAGCCGAGCAAATGGCAGAAAAGCACAAGGCGAAACAGGAACGAAATCTGACCATTCAAACGGTAGAAAAGCATAACAATGGTGACGACTATGACGATGATGGGGAACTTTCGGGTCTTACCAATTTCCCGATTGCTGAGATCAACGCCTTTCACAAAAAAGAGAGTGTTTCGGACCTTGACAATTCCATCCGAAACTTCCCTTTGCTCAACATCATGGAAGGGGGCACCATCAAAACTGTTTCCGAACTTGATCCTGGTCCAGAGGGAGAACCAAAGAGGCTCGACAGTGACAGTCACACTGGTTCGATTTCTGGCCTTGTCGACCATATTGTTGTCGCAAAACCTGCAAAAGCCGACGAAGAAGAAGATGATGATGTAGACAAATATGCGGCCATGGAGGGTGGAGAGGAGGAAGAGGAGGAGGAGGAGGAGGAAGAAGAAGAAGAAGAAGAGCCAACAGGTACAGGAGAGAACCCGTTCGTTCTACACCAAGATATTGATATTGAACGTGACGCGGAAGGCGCCGCGCTTGCAGATTCCATTACTGAGTGGAGCATTCAAGAGATTGAATCAGAGGATACGGGCGCGGTGGCCGTAGAGGTGATGCTAAGTGCATGCAACCAAACACAGCTAGGTCAGATGTTCCTGAAGAATGTACCAATGTCATTGCAAAGGAAGAAAAAGGAGGGTGTCCAAACGGTGTTGAAACGAATCAATGAACAGGGTCAGATGGTCGTCCTGAAGACACCCATAGCAAAGGAATCAGCGTTACCATCGTCGTCTGACGAAAACGTAAGACGACCCTATCCGAGCAAGCCCGTCCAAGCCACCCCTCGGATTTCGAACATTGGGAAGAATCAATTCGCTCGAGGCCGAAGCGACCCCAACGGTGCTGATGGAACCGACAAGTACGCCAGAAAGAAATCACGAAAGCAGGCCAGTGACTCCATGGCTGACATAACAGATGCCTTTCTCAGCGAAAGGAACAAAGGGCTGCGTGATGCCCCAAGTTTCGATGAAAAAGAATCTTTTAGCCGCAAGTCTAGTGAGTCACATAATAAGGCCGAAGTTGAGGTTGAAGCTGAAGACGGCAGTCGCATGCCCATAAGCGCTCTTGCGCGAGCACTAAACGCCGAACTAAACGCGGACGATTCTTCGTCGGAAGGTGGATTCTTGTCCGAAGCCGAAAACTTTGAACAGTTCATCTCCAGCGGAGTCAACATCGATGAAATCCTGGGCCTCGACAAGAGTTCAGAAGAGCGGAGCGACCGTGAAGGTGACGTTGAGTATTCAGTGTCGGTGGAGAGCAGCATTATCAACCTGGTCGAGTATGAAGACGACGAAGAAGACGACGCTACCGAGCAAGAACAGGAGCAGGAGGATGAGGGCGACATGACTGATGGAAAGCGGTTGCTGTTGGAGGCAAAGCGGCTCGTGATGAAGAGCCATATCAGCGAATCCGAAAAGAAAGACCTGCTGGACACTCTCGCAAGATTTGGACGAGCTCGTCTGTCATTAAGCCCGGCTGCCAAGGCAGAGCTAGTGCGGGGTCTCAGCAACATCAGCGAGGATTTCATTCCAGATCTGATTGACTTGACCGATTTAGGCGAAAGCTTTATGGATCGGCCGATGAGTGATGTCCCACCTTTGAGCGATGAGCCTATTATCAGTGATGACCCACCGATGAGTGATGAGCCAATGAGCGAAGACCAACCGATTACTGAATCCTCTGGTGTTGAGGACGTAACCTCAGTTTCCGAGGAAAGTGAACAACTCGAGAAGCAAATGGAAGACTTGCGCCAACTTGCCGCGCAACACAATGTCGAAAATGTTGCAACCGAAGACTATCCAAAACAACCTGTGAAAAGCCAAGACTCCCTTGAAACGTTGATGGACTTGGCAGCCCAATTGCTTCGAATGAAAGGTGATCAGGAGGGAACAACGGTAAATGCACAAGAAGAACCCACCAGCGTGAAGCCGAATACAGAGGTGGAAGACGGATTGGTGATCGTCCCCGGAGTTGACGTTCCGCAATTCGAAGGAAAGAGCAATGAAGAAGAAAGCTCCACCAAGTCAGCCGCCTCCATTTCAGCGGCCGACTTAAACAGCAAACAGGTAGCCAACATGGACGGGCACTTCTTATCGAACACAGCAATAAGCACGCTCTTGGAGCACGTGATGCGACACGCTGGAGAAGAGACCCTTGAAACGGTGTGTCAAGCCACAACGGATAACCTTGCATGCGGGGGCCAGACTCTTCCTGAGGAGCCCACGCTCTCGAACACCAAAAAAATGATCGAGGATGTTCAAAAAGAGATTTCAGCCATTAAGCCGGATGAGAAAGAAACTCTTGAACGCCCTGGACCCCCTGGTATACCCATAACATCGGAGTCGATAGTGGCACAGGGTATGTTACAAAAGGCATCTAGGGATCGCTCAAGTTCAAACGTCGATTCGAGCATTTCTTCTGGAGTTGTTCCGACACAAAAAGTGGAACTGGATATCTCCTATCTCAATCGCAAGAAGCAGCAGAAGCCAACAGGTGCATTCGGTGCGCTCTGTGCCGTCACAGAGCACGCTTTTTGTGGACCACGTGTAATACCACCAACTGATCTGGATTATCATCTCAACATCAGCGATGTTTCCATGGCTGCCTCCCGTATGGCGGTTGCTCCGAGATCAGACAAAGCTCCTGGTGCTTTCTTTGGAGACGGCTCAGTGAGTGGGCTCAGTGGAGAAGATGTCGAACGAAGGGTCGACGAAGTACTCAAAGCGAAGGAAACTTCAGCACAGTACCTGAAACCTGACCGTGAACAGGCGCCACCACATCCTTTATCTTCGCTTCCGTCGTTGAATCTAACTATGTTTGGTTCCTCGGCATCGAGAACAAACACAGAGGGAGTTGAGATCACAAACAGCCAAGCACAAAGGATGATAGCAGGTTCAGCACAAATGATGATGATGGCAGGTTCGCAAGGTGACGAAGGCCTTCCAGCTGTTCCGAGAATGCGATCGGACGAAAGTGAGTCCGCGTCGAAGGAAGAGCTGGTGGGCGAGCCGGTCGCAGATGAAGATTCCACGCTCCCCAGTGTTTCGCCTGAGCTCGAAGAGTCCAAGGTGATGAGACTTACGGTAGAAACAGTTCCGATTGAGATTACGAGAACAAGGCGAAACAATCGAAAGCCACCGATCCCAGATGACATGAACCTCAAGCGTGTTTCTAAACCCAGTAACGCCAAGGGCCCAAGGCCAAAGCCACAGCCCGAAGTGCGCTTGAAGGGGCCGAAGACGGCAAAGACACCGAAGGCAGGACAAACTATGGAATCGTCGCCAGCTCCAAGGAGTGCAGGCAAAGAGGCCCCTGTCGGTACAGAGATCGCCCGAGCCATGGGTAAGGGTCTGGAACCAGAAGCATCAGAAGCATCAGAATATCACGACGATGATTTCGAGGGAGTTACCAAAAATGACACGGAGGTCTTCGCAGCCATCATGCGGCGTTCGCAAAAAGAGAGAAGCGGACTTGAGCCTGATGCACCCAAGTGTGGACTGGACGACATTAGTCAACTCACGGCATGTGATTCCATTTTAGCGGACAGTGATGGGTCTCACATGACCGAATCCATAAGTGGCGGCACCAGGTCGAGCCAGCGCTTAAGCATTGCCAACAGCAGTAATTCCATGGCTGGAAGCGATGGATCCGGCCAATCAGATGGAGATCACTTCCAGCAGAATTATATGGAAGACGAAGAATATCCTTCGGCAGAAGACGATGACGACGACGCACCGTTTGCTGAAGGAGATGAGGAGCCTTCAGCCGAAGATGAGGAGCCTTCGGGTGACACTGTGGACCAGTACGTTATTGTCGATGGGCAGAAACACTATGTACGAGAAGGCGAAGATGGAAATTACGTGGCCAAAAACTACAGGGCTGCTGGAGGGGGCTTTGAAGAATCCGAGGAAGATGAATCGGATCAATTTGATTTGCGAGGTCCAGGTGGACCATTGGAGCAAGAAGAAGAGGTATCTTCGGATTACGAAAGTCGAGAGAACGGTCACTACGACCTTACCAACGAAGGAGAAGTCTACGGTGGTGATGGCGGGTCCCTCCAAGACGACGACCAAGAAGGCATTGCAGCCACAGAGAGCCAAGACAAGAAGTCGCAGACTAGTCTGGGTATCGTTGCGGTGCACAGCGGGGATCGAAGTCAACGAAGTCAACGGAGCAAGAGTTCACGTCAGTCGCAACAACGAGATCAGAACGCGCGCTTTCTGGACGACCAGACAAACAAATCCTCGGGTCAAGACGGCGGCATACCCAGCGCAAACAAAGTGGTATTGGGAGCTGACGATTTGGAACGAAGCAGCACCGCGTCACAGCGAAGCAATGCTATCGACCAATCCAAGGACCAGTCCAAGGAATCGAACTCTTTGGTCTCGTACGAAGATGAAGGCTCGGCGGCCAAGGAGCGATTAAATGCTCCCAAGCAAAACCAATCCAAAGACTCGAACTCGTTGGTCGCATCCGACGACGATTTGTCCATGGTTGGTATGGATCCCGAATACGAAGAAAACTTGTCCTTGAGAATGGAACCATCAGGGGCCTTGGCAGAAACGATTTTCCAAGCTTACAGCAACGTTGAATCTGTTGCTTCTTATCTCTCTGCAAATTTCTCCGAGAATCCCAGCCCATCGAACTTGTATGCTGGTTCTGGATCCTATCATTCCTTGACGGTGGGGTCCATAAAATCCGCCAGGTCCATTCGAAGCGAATCAGGTGGCCAGGGACAAGCTGAAGTCAAGCCCGCCGCCTCATCGCATAGTTTGTCAGCTCGGCGTGGAAAGATCCCTGTGATTGAAGAGAAGGCCAGTGATCCAACGAGTACTGATGACTACTCCAATCAGTCGCAACAGTACCTTTCTGTGATTGACTTTCACCAACCGGTCCAGCTGAACTATTTCAATTCAATCGGGCACGGAAACAATGCTGCAGTAAAGCCGATCGCTTCGGCACATGGATTGTCGTCTCAACAGGGTACGAGACCGGAGATTGAAGCCAAGCCAAGTGAAGCTTCAAGTTCTAATTCTTCTGGTATTGTTGGGGACAGCCAACAAGCCCCGGTGCGGACCTTGCAGTCGGTTGCCTTGGCTCGTAGCTTGTCAGCCCAACGCCGGCAGCAGAACTTGTTTCAAGACCAATTTGAGGGTCCCACAGATACTGATTCATCTGGTCTTGTGAGTGCAACCAGAGGCATACGGGAGGATTCATTGGACCACGAAGCCAACGTTGAAAGCAACGAAACCGATTCATCGGGGGTTGTAAGTACTACTCCTTTTGTGCTATCAGTTAGATCGAGAGAGCATGTCGACAATCGGAGCGCGCAAATGCAAGTCGAAGAGACACTGGTCGAATCGGCAAGAGTAAGTGTCAGTAGTGAGGCATCAAGAGATCTACACAGGTCAGAAGTTCTCGAGACAAGTAGTTCGTTGAAAGAGATGGCGCAAACATTTATTGTTCAGACAACTTCATCTGGGACTACAGCGATGGAGCCATCCATGGAAATTCAGCGAGCAGCAACGCTGAATGGTTCGTCGGACGGAAGCGATTTGGAGACTCAAGGCGGCGACAATCTGGAAATGCAGCAGTTGTCCCACCTTCGCGCCCCCTCGGGGAGTACCGCGACGGCCTTGGATGCGTCAACATCGGACACAGCAGGAAAATTCTCTGCAGAGGACGAAACAAGGAAAGACGGTTCAAACATCCTGTCAGCTTCAACAAGCATGTCATTGCAACACGACATTTACTCGTACGATTTCAAGAAGAACTCGATTCTTGAGAGCAAAGACACTTATGATTTTAAGCAGAACTCGATTCTTGAAAGCAAGGACACAGACCCGGGCGGTTTGAGGAAAAACTCAATGCTCACTAGCAGATCGGAAGCAATGGGATCTACTACTTTGAACATACCGTCTGATGTGGAGGAAGATGACGATGCTGATGAACACATCGACGCGTTCCACACGGGACCGACTGACTTCATAATTTCAGCCCAGAGCAACGAACACGATCCATCCATTGTCCTTGCAGATGCTGACTTCACCCAGCCGCAGGAAATCATCTTCTGTGAAAGTTCCATGGATAGCGAGGCCAACTCTGCAGCTGTCCGGGGTCAAGACTTTCAGAGACCCAGTACTCACACCGTCGTTTCGTGCCCAGAAATGCATAACCCCATGGATGGAGCATCCATGGACGCCATTGAGCACACTAGTGCTCCAACTGAAGTGTTCGGAGACCATCCATATAGTGACCAATCAACGCTGGGGTCAGAGGGCGTTTCAACAGTTCCCAGCAAATCGGAACCGGGAATGCAGGTACGGCCAGCCCCAAGTGTTGGAGCATTGCCAGTTCAAGATTCTTCTAGCACCCGTCCTATTTCGCCGTTTAATGCCTTGTTGAGTCTTGTTACCGGCTCTGGTGTCCGTGAACAACCCATTACCGTTGATCAGGGTGTCTCTCCTCAAGCCGGAGCACCAGTGTTTACGGAAGGTGACTACAACATGATCAGTTCGTTGATGGGTGATGTCGCTGAAGATCCGCCGAGTGATACAAAGGTCCGACCAATCATGACGGCCGAGACTTCCAGCTTGACACGCCAGCCTTCAATAGCGTCAAAGGAGTTCTTGTTCCAGCGGGGAGATCAAAGCGCATTAGTTCAATCATACGTGTCATCTCAGCAAACAGGCTCGGCTGTGTCTTCCAGACAACCAGTCGACCCACCGACCCTCCTGGCAGAATCGGCCTCAGCAAGTTTAGACCACCTTACTCAGCCAATTGATTTGTCTGGTATCGAGTCGTGGTCACCTTCTCTTGCTGCATCGTTCAAAAGCGAAGAACATGCATCAACCGTGAATTCGGCAGAGCGCTCAAATGGAACTTCTGGAAAGGAAACCAGCGTTGGTGATTCTGCAAGACAGCCAAGCAAAAGCGAATTCCATGAAACTGCTGAAGCTTCCCAACAGTCGAGCTCTGGGTCTGGTGTCTTTTCACCTTCTCTTGCTGCGTCAGTCAAAAGCAAGGAGCGTGCTGCAGATGTGGCTTCTGAGAAGTTGTCAAGCGCAGGTTCTGCAAAACGCTCGATTGGAACCTCTGGAAAGGAAGCCAGCGTTAGTGATTCTGCAAGACAGCCAAGCAAAAGTGAATTCCATGCAACTGCTGAAGCCTCCGAACAGTCGAGCTCCGCTTCTGCAAATCAGTGGAGCAAGCACTCCGGAAAGGTGTCAAGTGATTCTATGAGGCAGTCGAGCGAAGAGGAAGACACCACTGAAGATCAAGAGCAGCGATCGAGCCCAGATTCTGAGAAAAATCAGTCTTCAAGTGAACATTCCAAGCAGTCGGCACAACCTTCGACCCAGTCTCACAGTCACGAATCAAATGAACTTTTAGATTCCCTACAAATTCCAGAGCTCCCAATGTCCTCATCCCAGGCGGCAAGTGATGCAGTACCATACGACTTGTCGATGAATGCCGATGAGTCCCTGAGAACGGCAGGAAGTTCTACAGAGCGGCGAACAGAGGGCAGAAGCACCACCGATGGCAGAAGCACCACCGAAGGTAGAAGCACCACCGAGGGTAGAAGCACCGCCGATGGCAGAAGCACTGATTTTGAATCAAAAACGACCTTGACTGCCCTGAAGGCTCCAATGCCGGCAGACGATGAGTCTAAGAATACTCGTTCTCGTCGTAAACCATGGAGTCCAACAGACGATTCAGAGTCAAAGAAAACAATCACATCCCTGAAACCTCCCATGCCAGCTTTTTCCCCACTGTCACTGGAGCGTCCCCGTAACGCTGGGACAGAGTCCCTTAATGATGAGTTGCAGTCGCCTCCCCTGATGCCTTCAGATAGCATAGGCTTTGAGTCCAAGGAAGTGAACTTGTCGAAACTTTGGACTGCGGATGAGAGCACAGGATCCGTTTCATCTGACTCCATCACAGCCTCCAGGACAAGCGTAACATCAGCTCTAATGAGGCCTCCTGTGCCCGCCATGTCGCCACAATCACAGCAACAACAGAGGGAACCATCTGCCTCAAAGTCCAAGACGACTTCTTCATCTATTCTTAAGCCACTAATGCCGCCACTGTCGCCACAGTCACTTGGTCAACAAACCAAGGAACCAAAAGAGCATAGTGTTGGCAAAGAGTCGAACGGGGTGAGACTATCAAGCTTTTTGGAACTGGACAAGGGCAAGGCCTCTGCACCGCCCGCCGTAAGCACCGACGGAGCGTCGAAAACGACAATGACGTCTCTTCTGAAACCTCCAGTCCCTACTGAATCGCCTCAGTCGATTGAAAGGAAGTGGAGAAAAGCCACTGAGCTAGCCAAAGGTGCAGCCAAGATTCCCGAATCGCCATCGGGTAGTGTTGGCCTTGATTCAAGAGAAGTGAGGCTGACGACCGCAGAGAAGAGCTCGCATCATGATGCGTCAGAATCATGGACGACACTGAGTGTTCTGAGAGTGCCCAGACCTGCGGCATCGCCAAACTCTTTCATTGACGAGAGGCGGACGGCAAACGACGAAAGCGTGGGTTCAAAGGATGATAGAACGAAAGAAACTCTTTCCATGAATGGTTCTGCAAGCTTATTAGAAATTCAGTCAAAGGAAGTGAGGCTGTCGAGTTTTATGGACGGTACTCTTTGTTCGTCCAGGCAGGAAGTTTCAGACTCTCCAGGCAGTTCCGCCAACACTGGTTCTGCTTCAAGTAGTCAGTCGCTTGCACAATCACAAGGTATCAAAAACGATTCGTTACACCATTCCACTGCACCAAAATCGGCTCCTCCCAAAGTATCGTCAACTTCGTTAAGTCAACACCTCGCCCGCGACCGAGAGAGTCGCAGCACCCATGAGTCGTTTCATACCGTTGAGTCGGCAAAAACTGAGGAGACCTCAAACTTGGCTAGCCAGGAAAGAACAAAGGACACTCATTCGTCTCATACCGACCAATCCAAGCTTGAGATTTTCACAATGACAGAATGGCTCGATTTTCAAAACGAAGGGACGGAAGTGTTCTTGAAGGCCGAAACTGAATCGGACACACAGAGCATATCAAATGAATCAGACGAAAGCAACCAAAGGGCCAAACCAGACAACGACAATCACTCTCTCGACATGAGTTTATCGCACAGCGATTCCGATGACGGAGTGCTGGAGGTGGATCCTGGCGCGAAGGTTGGATCGTTGGAAGCTGCAGAAACGGTTGACCCTATTTTCGGAGCAGAGTCTTTTATGACCCAGGGCAAGAATTCAAAAGCCCCGGCATCCAAGAGCCTTTGTGATATCGACAAACGGCCTCGGTGCGATGTAAACACATTGCTTTGTATTGCCGGCGCGCCACTTGCGATAGCTGCGGCGCCATTCGCTGTCGCTGCTCACCTAGTAAGTGGGCCAAGTTTGAATGCCATTCAATGTGGACAAGATTCCAAAGAGTTGAAGAACGATCAGTCCGTTGCTATTGCAGCTATAAACGGCTCGGCCGCCAGAATTGAGGCGAAAGCGCAAACGTCTGTTTCCTCGTCATCAAGACACCAGAGTGGCTCAAGTCAGTCACTCGCTGAATTCAATGCTCTCACTGCAAAACCTACTCGAGGACCGCACTCTCAAACATCTTCTGTGGTTGAGACAACGAAAGTGCAAGCGAAAGGTCTTTGCAGCATGAGTCCTTGTATAGGAGGCGGGCCGAAAGCGTTGGAAGCAGATCACTCTACTCCAGACGACTTTCAGATGATCGCAGAATCTGAAGACCGAAATGCCGAAGGCAGCGATTTCTTCAAAGAGCTCCCTGATCGTAGCGAGGACGAGAAAAAGGTCCCAGAGCCTTCAACAGTTGCGAAACAGATCGATGAATCAATGCCAACCAGAGAGCAGCAGCAGGCGGACTCAGCATCAATGCTAACTCGCGAACAAGAACTTGAGCTCTTGAAGGAGATGAGACAAAAGACTGTTATGAATGTTGGCAGCGATTCATCCATATCTCAATGCAGCTCTAACCAGTCGCTGTCCTTGAAGTCGCCATCGACGTTGGAGGAAACAGAAGCCATGGAAATGAACGCAGGCACAGACGCCGAAGGCGGAGACAGAGATGGCGCTGATGCTCTGATACCACAAGACTCGAAAGAGTCGTCAAAGTCAAGTGGTTCACGACCAATCGTTCGTCCTCTTTCTACTAGTTCTGAGAGGAGTGACGGGCCTAATGATGTCGCCACCAACGCCATGACAACGTCCACTTTACCCGTTTCAACACTCAATACATCGGGAGATGAAGCGATTGAAGCCAAACGTAGTGCAGACAATTCTTTCAAGTCTACAGAAGATGTGATATCCCAGAAGTCCAAAGAACGTGTCCCCATAGAAGAAGCCACGGCCCCGCATGAGTGGCGAAACACTGCGGCGTCTCACAAATCTGAAGCTTCCATGAAGTCGTCAGCAGCACGTACACCTTCAGAGAAAGATGGGATATACAGCGTCGAGCTCAAAAGCGATGTTATGTCGGGCCATCTTGCTAGCGCGGACACTGAATACCAAGATATCTCAGTGTCACACAGATACGGCGATCCACCACCGGGGTCAAAAAAGGAGCCTATGGATCCCCCCAACGATTTGTCTCCTGTGGCTAGGAATGACGCGACAGAACAGGAACATCACTCTGGAAGTTCCGTCGCAGACGAAACGTTAACTCTAACACCCGCGAATTCGATTCTAGACACAGATCTCAAGTTTGAAAGTCCCGCAATCGCCACCGCCAAAGCTGATTCGGAAACAGAATTCGGGGTCGGAGCAGACCTCCATGATGGCACTCCGACGTACAACCAGTCCGAACCAAACCAGAAAGAAAGTGGGGAGTCTCCTGCAGAATCGAACATCTCTGAAGTATCTCCAAGTACAAACACTGATGACGAAGGACTGGCCTTTCACACACCACACGCGACAAGTTTTGCGTCTGAAAACGTCAGAGACAAAATCATTGACATTCACTCGTCGAAGGGATCCTCGCGCCGGGGAAGTGTCCAAAGAGGAGACGTCGTCCCCGAGGATTCACCTCAACTTAGCTACATATCTGATGATTATATTTCTGACTACTGCGACAGTACGCTCCCAACTCGTGGTGACGACCCTTTCATTTCAAACGACCAAAATTTAATCACACCACGCCCAGACCCAGAGGAACAATTACCCGATGAAGCCTCGATGCCGATGCATCCTCCAAAAAGTATTCAAGCCCCAAGCAGTGTTTTGGAGACCATTGCTGGTCAAGGCGAACAAAACGGAGAGGAAGCGGATAAGAACGTGGCAAGGAGCTCCCAAGTGTCTAGAAGTACACTCGGTAGCAAGTCTAATAAACCTGCAGGAGGCTTTGTCCAAGCTGATACAGGGAGCTCCAAAAATCTGAAATCTGCAGGAAGCGTACCAAGTGAAACTGGTAGTGCCCACTACGTTGGACGGAGCTCCCAAGTGTCCAGAAGTACACTCGGGAGTAAGTCCAACAAAAAGGTTGGAGAATTTGTTGAAGCCGATACAGGGAGCTTCAAAAATCTGAAAACTGCAGGAAGCGTGCCGAGTAAAACTGGTAGTGTCCACTATGATTTGGAACCGAAAGAGACCGAACCCACTCTCTTGGCACTTGAAACATACAGCTACAATAACTATACAAGGCAGTCTCAAGGGACAACCTCTACATTGGGCAGCAACAAATCCGGGATCCTTCACAGTTTGGAACAAGAAATCAGAGAGTCCAACCTTGCGGCACCTCTTACTGGCAACTCCAACGATCTTGCAAGTACTAGGGACTCACTAGTAACAGGAAGTACAATAGGTAGCAAATCTGGTGCCCAGAAAGAGTTTCTAAAGGAAACAGCACCAGGTCTTTTAGATGCTGATGCACCAATTCCTGGCAAAGGCATGATGGAGCGATTTGCATCTGCCAGAGATTCAATGGAAGGAGAATCATCATCGTCATCGGGGGGAGTAGACCAATCACTCTTGCTCCAAGGTTCTAATGATTCTGGAGGGCTACTCCTTTCTGTCACGCGGTCGGATTACGAGGACGATCGTGAAACGCCAATGTTTTCTGAGAGCGAAACAGGTTATGATCAAGACGCATACAATGGTGGCTCCGAACAAGAGAACTCGTCATATTCATCAAGTGGCGAATCCAAACAATATGACTCCACTGACGATCTGCTGCGGATGCCTCTTCCACATCGAGATAGCTCCGTCTTTGATGCGACGAGTATTGCCAGCTCGAGCAAGCGGCAGAGTGCGGCAGAATCAAGTAGCAGCAACGCATCTGCGCTTCAAGGAAACAGACCTGCTTCAGCTTCTTCTGGTGAGGAAGTTATCGTTGTTAGTGAAAGTCAAACGCAACCTAGGTCTTCAGCATCTGGCTCTAACGAAGAAATAGTCGGTGGTCAAGGAACGACGTCGGAGGAATACCTGTCAACCATCCCTGAGCTTGAGTTGAATAGCGCCAGTTCTCGAGAAGTCAACCAACTGGTTAAGAATGCACAAGAAAATCGGAAGACCGCAGTTAACCTTGTGGCGGCAAACAGCAGAGCATCTGGCCAGTCACTGGATGCCTCCAATAGTGACCGATTCCCAACAAGGCTATCGACAAAGGAACTGATTCGGTTGTACACTGAAAGCGGTTCAGTGGAGTCCAGATCCATATCAAGATCCTATTCAAATACATCGCAAAGCCCTTCTGGAAGGACTTCTTCGATGGCCGACTCGTATCACAACCGCCCGTCCAATCCCACCAACACCAGCACTTCTACAAGTTTCGACTTTGAGAAATCAGGGGGCTACAATGCTCGATACTCGGCATCTTCAAATGGGATGGTGTCTTCTGGGGTGTCCAGAAGTCAAGTGGGGCCTGATTTTGGAGCTGTGTCTGCTTCAGGCATCTCTCACAGCAGCCAAACACATAGCACTGGCAACTTATCATATGGTGCACAAACATCTCCGAATTTGAAGAAAGAAGCACTTGATGCGCCAGCGTACGCAGGAGATCCATTGCAGGTTTACTTGGCCAGACCTCAGCTGAATAATGGTGGGGCCGGTCCAGATGCTCAAGATGCAGTGTCATTGGTAGACAGAACAATGACATTGACGAATGAGGTGTCCACCAGATCTATCCATTCAGCACCAGAATTGCACACTGGGTCGGCCATAGATCAACTCAACTCAAACCAAGAGAAACGAATTGATATTGACTTAGTTTCCTATGGCTCGACCTATTCGACCCCAGCCCCTGCCCCAATCCCAGCCACTAATAGAGCCACTAATCCAGCAGAGCACCAGACAGCAATGGGTACTGAGGAGGATGTCATTTCTCGTCCTTCTTGGGATGTAGGAATGAATATCTCCAGTGCTGGATCACCATCTTGGGCTGAGCTTACAGAGGCAAGTAAAAGTGTGTTCTCTTCTATGGCAAGAACAAACAAAACGACACAAGAAAGAGTAGGCACTGGCCCAGGCACCTCAGGAGTTTCATTAGCTGCACACATTACTACAATGAAATCACCAGCTGGAGCAAGATCAGTTCAATCAGCACCAGCAACAAGCTCGGCTCGGCCAAACTTAGCAATGGGTGGGCATTCTGAGGACCAAGCGTCCTACGATAGTGGCATTGCTGAGGCGGATACAACATCGGAGTCTACTTCCAAGTCAGTTTCAAACATGACCTTTGCAGAAAGATCTACCACCGCAGCTACTACCACAGGGATGTCTATACTTGGTCGTGAGAGAGTATTGCATTCAGCTGCAGCCACAACAAGGTCAGTCCATTCTGCCCCAGGACCAAATTTGACTCAGTCTTACACCGAGGCAGTTGCTGCAGAAGCCACCAAATCTCCTTCAACAGAAACCCATAAGTCTCTTCCAATGTGGGATGAAATGTCAAAAAACTCCGAGAGTGAGAGTGCTGGAAGACAGTCAGTTGCTGCTGAAACAACAAAGAATCATGGTGTGACAAAAAACTCTAGAATTGAGAGTGCTGGAACACCATCCTGGAATGAACTTGAAATCTCCAAGAGTGAGAGTGCTGGAAGACAGTCAGTTGCCGCTGAAACAACAAAGACTCATCCCACGTGGGATGATTTGACAAAAATCTCCAGAAAGGACAGTGCTGGAACACCATCTTGGACTGAACTTACTGTAGAAAGCAAGAATGTCTTCTCCGCTGTTGTGAAGCCAACACAAGATCGAAAGCTTGATGATATCTATGGATTGCTCAACAAGGAAGAGAAGGCACAGACACTAAGCCCAACTGGATCCAACAGAAATCTTCAAGATGGTAGGGTGATTCGTTCCAAAGGCTCCATTGGTGAAACAAAAGTCATCATGGGTCCAGTCATCCCTTCAGCGACACACCAAACAGAAGCCACAAGGCTTGGCAGTGATGATGCTTCATATGGCACAAGAGACAGCTCTGATGACCCCTTGCCACTCAGCTTTTTGAATGAATCCAGGTCATTTGCCTCAATACCATCCAAAAGGAGAATCAATCATTCATCAACGGCTGATGATGATAAATCCACCGAGACTGAAGTAACCAGAGGCGGTTCTAGCCGCCTCAACATAGCAGGAACGGCTGCTGCAGAAAAAGCTGCTGAAACATCAACAAAGAGTGACTCAAGGACAGCTGCTTCTAGCATTCACAACACGATGACACCCGCTGCAGAAACACAAACACAAGTGGAGAAAACTCCATCACTTGGTGCTCATTCAGCCCCAGATGCAGGTGCTGAAGAACGGTTTGTGAGAAATTATCTTAGATCACCTGGATCAATGCCAGAAATGCAGCACAGAACTCATGTGCCAACAGGTCAAGATGCTTCTAACTACACAGTTTACTCATACAGTGTTCAGTCAGTCCCAGGCCCTTCAAATTACAGTATGAGGAATGATACAAGATCAGTTGTTTCCACACCTGTAGCCAATCAGGGCGTTGCTATGGCAACTGGAATGACTGCCATAAAACAGCCTTCAAACTACCCAATGCCAGGAGTAGAAAAGTTGGACACAAAGGAGTCATCGCAGTTTGAAGGGACATCCAGCTACTCATACAGTATTCAAACATTCCCAGGTGCTGAAGACTACAAAGAGAGGAGAGATGCAAGGTCCTTTGCATCAATGCCAACAGTAATGCATGAAAGTGCTCACCACTTGGGTGCTTCAGTTTCCATGTCACAGTCTGAAAGGAATCCAAACTTTTCAAACAGCACTCCGATAGGCCCTGCAAATGTGGGAAACTCATTGAGGAATGATACAACACCAATTGTGTCAACACCAGTAGTACAGCAGAGTACATGGGACTCCGCAAATATGTTCCAAAAGAGTTCCAACTACTCATACAGTGCACAAACAGCTCCCGAGCTTGTTGAGAATAGGGAGAGGAAGGACACAAGATCTGTTGCATCACTGCCAGCATTCTACCAAGGAGCTGGTTTCACAGCTGATCCAAAAGTGGAATCAGGCAAGCACTTCTCATACAATGCACCCTCAGCCCCTGGTTCTAGCATCAATGTGATGCAGCAGAATACGCACAGTCCAGCCATACCAGTTGCTGCAATGACACAATCAGAGACAATTCCCACCAGTGCTCAATCAGTCCCTGAAACTGGAGGCGGGCACATTTTTGTTGGTAATGACTCTAGATCAATTGCAACAATGCCAGCATACCATCAAGGTGCAGCGGTGCAACAATCAGACAAGAACATCTCATATGACGCTCCCTTGGCCACTGGTTCTAGTATGAATGTGATGCAGCAGAATACGCACAGTCCAACCTTCCCAGAAATGACACAAGCAAATACAATTCCCACAAGTGCTCAATCATTCCCTGAAACTGGAGGTGGGCACATTTTTGTTGGTAATGACTCTAGATCAATTGCAACAATGCCAGCATACCATCAAGGTGCAGTGGTGCAACAATCAGACAAGAACAGCTCATACAATGCACCCTCTGCCACTGGTTCTAGTATGAACGTAGTGCAGCAGAATACCCAAAGTCCAACCATCCCAGTTGCGGCTGTGTCACAAGCAGAGAGAATTCCCACCAGTGCTCAACCAGTCCCTGAATCGGGAGGTGGGAATGACTCTAGATCAGCAGCATCAATGCCAGCAATGCAGCAGTCCACGAGACAGCCTGACAGACACCCCAACTACTTCTCATACAGTGCTAGTGCCCACTCAGCTCCTGGAACTGCTGGGGGTGCAGACAGTTTTGTGGGTATTGACTCAAGATCAGTTGCAACAATGCCAGCAATGTATCAGGGCACCCAAGTTCCAAATGCCACTGCCATGGCACCCCACAATCTAGAAAAACGCTCAAACTATTCATTCAGAGCTCAAACAGACGCTGGAACCACAGAACCAGCTGTTTTGAGGGATACAATTTCAGGTACAGCAGTGCCAACGCAACGAAATGATGTGACTCACCTTGGCGTTTATAGCGTTAGTAATCAATACAGCAGCATGACATCAGGCACTATTGAAGGTTTCTCAGAAGGATCAAACAGGCGTCAAGTGCTGCCGATGAGTGACAGCGACAGAGCATTCCTTCACGATTTTAGCCCTTTTGCAGCATCTGGCACTGTAGGAGCACCAATCGTGGCTGACTCCAGGTCTGTGGTTTCGATGCCCGTAATGCGGGATGGTCTAACTATGACCGAGCAGGATGATACCTCTCGACCCCAAAAAAGTCCCAGAGGAGCACAACCCGGGGGCCCGATCATAAACGTTATGAAAGATGCAAGGTCTATCGCATCAATGCCACCATTGACAGAAGGTGGTTTGGACAGAATGCCAGTTGTACAAGGAGCTGGTGCCGACGGAGAGCCTCTTGCTCGCAACAAATATGATGCGAAGTCCGTGGGATCTGCGTCAAAAGAGTCAACAACGATGACGCCAACCATGACAGAGACAGACCAGCCGTCTACAGATGCAGTGGGTATGCGAAACGATGCGGCATTGGCGATGACAAAGGGTGGGCGTCCCACGGTCGTGACGGCGTCCATGTCGATCACAGACAAAGGCACCTTTTTACAGAAGGGCCCTGCTTCTGAGGCACGAACACCCGGCAGTAAGTCAGGGGGTTATAACATGAAATCACTCGACTCAGACTCGTTTGGCTCGGCATCATCTACGCGGAAGGGCGCCCACGCCACCATTGCTACAGAACCAATGACGGAAACAGATCAACCATCCCTTCCTCGATATACTTACGACGGGAGGTCGATTGGGTCGGGACCTGGTGCTTCTACTGGTATGCAAGGAGTGTCAGGGCCAACACAAAATTCCAATGCCACAGAACAGTCAGAAAAAGGAACGAAACTTGAAACGCATGTTGCATCACATAACGCAGGAAACAAGTACGATACCGGAGGAGCCTCCAGAATCGAAGAGAAAAACAGGTCTTTGTCCGTGGGCTCATCGATGAATGAACCGATCGACCTTCTTGGACCCGACGAAGAGTTGAAGTCGGCTCGTCAAGCTTCTGTGGGGTCAACCTCTCGTCGTGGACCCGTGTCTGGCAGCATTTCCAATACTTCATCTGATGATGATGTGATCTCTTTGGGAAAATTCAAAGTCGAGATAACTCCTGTGCAAGACCACGACGGTAGCTCGGAGGGAATGCTTTCAAATCAACCCGACTTCGCTTCGAAGGGCAGCAGCGGACTGGCTTCCGTATCGAGGGCAGAAAGCAACTTCCAAGAAGGAGTAGAACAAACAGCAGAACGGAGTGCGAGCTTCAGTGAGATTGAGATAAAACCACCAATTCCAAAATCCGAGCCAGAACTGTTACCAACCTCGTCATCCAAGCTCTCCAAGAGCTCGAAGGGGGTTGAAGCTATGTGGATGGATACAGAATCGGGACGACATGTCATTTCCACGGATGTCGCATCGGCCAGCAACAACGTTATCAGACATGTTAGGAGTGGTGAGACCAGTTCGTGGTTGAATGCTTCGGAGCTTGGAGAGGGCTCAACGGCTGCTGGTTCAGCGGGAAATGGCTTCAAGAGGACTGAGTCGAGTTCATGGCTGATGTCTGATTCGACAGACGAAGAGAAGAGAGACACATCTTCCAACAATATCGACGGTGGAGTGGCCAAAGCAAGTTCGCCAGAAACACACCAACAATCGCGACGCCCATCCGAAACCTCACTCTCTACCAGAAAGCAGGGACCGGTTAAACACGGAGAAGCACCCTTCGACGACAAGCTTAATCATCAGGCCAACCAACCCATCGCCGATGTTTCGCTCGAGGTGGATCGGGACGTCTACCAAGATCAAGTTAGGCCACCGAAGTTGTTTGTGTCGCCTCAAAGCAGCAGCGACGAGGACGCAAGCAGGCAATCTGATGCAGCGTCTGCCAACAGCACCTATTCGAAATCGACAGAAGAAATCGTCAACGATGCAACACTTCGGAATCTTGCAACGACCGGGGACGCTTCAGCGACAAGAGATTTTGTTTCCCAGATAATCAATGACCAGCAAATCCAACAGTTCGCTTCCACCAACGCGGATTCCAGTGTGGGCACTAATGAAGAGGCTCAGATGCACGAAGCTCTAAGTCTGTGCTACTCACCACCTGATGATGATGAAGATAGCTTTGCTACTACGACAGAAGCTGAGCTGACCGACGCAGAGTATAATATGCTATCCACGCAGCCGTCGATCCCCTTGCGCGAAACTATTTCTTTGGACCACGATGGAAAAGACCAAGTTGCTTCATTGCCTCAACCCCCAGAGTCCGACAAGGTTAAACAACCGCCAAAAAGCACCCAGAATCCTTCTGAAGGCAAGACAACGACGGGCGAAGGAAGTACGGAGAGAACAACCACCTCAATCCCGCTCCCTCCAATCCGTACTAGTGACAAAATGTCGGTAGAAAGAGAAAAATCGCTGGCCCAGGGCAGCTTTGAAGTACAGATCATCGATGCTGCAAAGTCGTCTACAGAGGGTTCGTCGCGAAACCATTCTAACGAACGAAACCAAAATCGTGAGGAAGGACGCAACTCAACTCCCACGAAAAGAGCTCTCCCTGAGCTTGAATCTGGTAGGCCGCAGGACAGAATGAGCGCGAAGAGATTGCAAGTTGAAAGTCGCGTCGCAGAGAGGAAGAATCAAGAGTCAAAAGTACCAGATTCCCCCGCCGCTTCGGTGAATAACAGACACGAACTTGGTTCGCCGGCAGCTAGTGCTTTGCCTTCGTTTGGCAGCCACACGGTGTTTTCATCGAATACGTTATCAAGCGAGAGATCTCGAGATGAAGCGGGGACGTCGTATTCAGCGCAATCTTCATTCGATAATCGGCAATTGTTTTCCAGTGCTTCAAGTCGTTCTGGAAGTGAAAGAGAAAACAAGTATGCACGCCGAATAAGAGAAAGCACTAGGCAAGAGCTACGTCAGGCAGACAAAAGACCACCTTCGCGTCTGGAACGAGATAGTCATTTTAGTCAAGATAGTCAAGATAGTGGAAGGGGAGATGATGAGCAATGGCAAGAACATGCTCAAGGAAGTGTTGGGACTGAAAGCAACAGCAGCGTTGAATCGGGCCCCAACAGTGACGTTCTCATTTCTGATAGTGAGACCTCAAGCGGCGAAGAAACTGGAGCTATTTCTGAACTCATCGCTCACTTCGACGATGTCACGCTGACTAACGAGAATGGTCGGCTCCAAGTTGCCGTTCTCGGCGACAATGCATCCTTCAAGGGCGATTCTGAGCTATTCCGAGCGCTACGGGATATTCGCCGCCAACGGGGTGAGCCTGTCCCTGATCATCAAAGCGTACAATCATCACGAGGAGTTTCCGATTACGGAAGTCCTGATCCAACACTGGACCCCATTGACGTGGAAACGATGATGAGCTACACGGAGTCCATGTACTTGCCTGATATGAGGCCAGATCTGCACAGTCACATGCGTCACAGTGAATCCATCTACTCAGCGGACGACGTTTCGATGTCTTCCAGGTCTCGATATGCTGCATACCCGTATAATGGAAGGAGCTCGTATTCCTACGCCTCCTCGGTCGATTACAACGCATCCACAATGCAACCCAGGCTGCCACTACATCGAGCAGACTCAATGCTGTCAGGAATCCGCAGTATTGACTCGACTACTTCGGTTGCTGCCACTAGGGATCTCGTTGACGATGGAATAGGCGACATTCAGGAGAGCTCCTCCAACATGGATTCGGTTGCGACACATGCTTCGCAGAAAGCCCGAGAATTGCGAGCCCAGCTGGATCAAGCACTGAAAACATCGGCGGCCATTCGTTCGACACAAGAACGTCTCGGAGCCGAGCTATCGACATTCAAGCGACGCCTTGACAAGCAACGTCAGGTAAACCATAGTTTGAGTCCACGATCGTCGAGAATGGCCGGAAGTAGCCCCTCCTCGAGTGATCGCCAATTCCGTTCGTCCTATGAACCGCATAGTGATTACATGGCGAGTGAGGGCAGCAGCAGCCGCAACTACGATCACTACAACAGGATCAACCACCCCCACAATAATTATGGATCATCTCAGCGAGGCCACTCCTCCGGCGAGTCACCCGAACGACGACGCATGTCCGACTCGACAGCGCAATTTGTGGCCCAAGCGGATCAACGTCGGTCGATGCAACAGCAACAACAACAACAGCAACAACAGCAACAGCAACAGCCACAATATCAGTTCAACTATATGCACCATAATATGGATCGAGGACGAGGACGCGACGTTATTTCGTCCTCCTTTCGTTCGTCTCATACACGAGAAGAAACCATGTCCTACAATCAGTCGTACAACCAGTCCTACTACGATTCGTCTCGAGCCGGTGCCACGACCATTACGAGCACTTTGGGAGGTGAAACGGACCGTGAACCAGCAGATGACTACTATTCGTCGTCCGATGGCACCGCCTCGTCCGAGACAGATGGCAGTGCCAGTGGTGATGTTGTGCTCGATGCCATTCAGCAACAAGAAGCCGCGGAGGAACGTCGTCGACGCTTGAAACTACAAAGCTTTGCGCGAGCGACCTACAATCGAATTGAAGAGGAAGCGATTGTGGATTTGACCCAGACCCGGTCTTCCGACGAAAAGAAAACAGTTTCCACGAGAGGAATTTTTTTTTAGGCAGGGCAACAGAGAAAGAGAAGAAGTTGAATGCACAAAAGAGAGAAAGAAATGAAGAATTGAATGTATATAGCAAATGTATGTACGATGCATGGAAGCACATTGAATGAATGCCAAGTGAAAGATGAATAGACCATTGCAACCACAAGGAGAGAACAGTACAGTGTACATGTCAGAACAAAAGAAGTCTCCTTGGAGTAGGTACTAAGAATATGTAAAGAGAAACCTTGGCACAGCATAGAGTGTTACACTTAGCAACTGTTGGCCCTTTAGAAGTACCTTCGTTCTGTTGTGTGCCCCAGCTAGCCAGAGTCTTGTAGAGTCAGTTTCTAGCTTGCTAGAAAGAACTTTGGCTCATGGAAATCAATCCACCAACACATCAAGGCCACCTGTCTGTCCAGCCAGCTATCAACCCTACTTTTGCTTCTTCTTTTTCTTGGGGATCCATGCCATGGTATCTGGTTCGTAATAGTAATCTTCCTCTTCATCTTGATCATCATCAAACTCCCATCCATCTTGATGGGAATACTTGGCATGCTCCTTTTTGACGCCCGTGGACTCTTGTACCACATCGACAATGGCCTTGAAGGCAAAAGGCTCATTGGCGGCCAGATCGGCTAATATTTTGCGATTGAGTTGAATGTTGCTATTCTTGGAGCTGGTCTTGGAGTCGTCTCCCCGCAGATTGAGGAGATGCATAAATTCGGAATAGCGAAAGGCGTATTGTCGGACTCCGGCAGAAATGCGTTGGATCCAGACCTTTTTGTACTCGCGACGTTTGCGTCTTCGATCTCGATAGGCATACTGCCAGCTCTTTTCAACGCGACGCACGGCAATGGAATAGCAATTCTTGGCGCGACCACGAAAGCCTTTGCTGAATTGGAGCAGTCGTTTGTGCTGAATAGACGAAATAGACAAGGGAGTGAGTTAGTGAGTGAGTGAGTCAACGGAAGTACTTTGCTACATTCTAAAACTACAATTTGCTGTCCTACCTTTTTGCTGGCAAACGTTCTGGCAACAATGTTCTGAGGAGAATTGGACCAAGCCGATGGTGCTGAGGGATGCAAAGGAAACCGGCTGGCCATGGTGGAGGTCGCCGTGTTCCAGGATGACACTACGAATCGACGTAGCAGCGACATGGTCAAGGTGTTGTTGTTTGTGCTGTCTGGCAGCCAGCTAAGGTACCAGTAGCTAGTCTAGGTAGAGTTGGTTTCGATGCCGTCGTCTCGGTCGTCGTCTCTGTGGCCATGGTCGTCTTCCTGAAGGCAAGCGGAGGCCAGACGAAAGATCACAATCACGGATGGATTCAGGACTGAAAGATCATTCACTTTCTACGAACTGAGGTCGATGTGAAGGATGACATGGTGGGGAGTTCGACGTAAAAGTATGAACTAAAATAGAGGGGAATTACGCTACGAGGTAGATCTTCATTAGGGTTGAGGTTGATCTCGATGTGACAACGCGATCACATCTCACACTCCCTCATCAACCGAGAACCATCTCGAAATAGTAGCGAATTCGTACTCGAACTACATCTCGTCGTTTCGTTGTAACAGTACTAGATGTAACATAGAGTGGGGCCGGTTCCCCTTTTTGTTGTCGTAGTCACTTCGCGAGCTCGTTGTTGGGTCCAATGCGATGACGAGCGCTGATGTGGAGTGCTACTCGCACTATCCTGATGCCTTGGTCAAGCTGTTCAAGCAGGGCGACGAATGATCGACCTTGGAGCACGTCTACTGTTCCAACCAAGATTGCGTTCGAACAGTTCGAGAAGCTGCGCCCCGCTATCATCTTGACGAAAGGTCAAGAATGAGAACAAGGTCGACCTCTACTACAAGCCGAGCGACATCTGGGGCACGTCGACCACGCTATCCTTATGAAGCACTTCTCGCGTGGTGTCATCAAGTTTGCCAACTTCGGCACGCGCCCGCGGTGGATGCGATTGCCGTACACCTCTACATCAAGGCAATCCAGAGTTCTACCCTGGAGTCAGTGCGACGACGTCGAAGAGCTCAAGAGCAT